TATATTCTGGTGGTAGTGAATTTCTCATTTGAGAGTTGTATGTAGTTACTGTTCGGTTTACTCCCCATAATTTGTTTGCATTATAACTACTGTCTTTGTCTTTTGTGATATCGGACATTTTGTCTCATTTCTCGTGTACACATAAGTGAACATTAAGTTTACTTTCATATAGAAGAACATTTCACACATTTCTTTGCTTTTTGTCGAAAATTTCTGGTATTTTGCAGGGAAATTTCTTTATTAGGGGGATTGATGATATTTAATTTTGGTGGTTACAGGTTGAGGGGGTGGAGAGATAATAAGGGTCGTGTGTATGTCCAGTAGGATCACCAAAATTGTAAATGTTGCCGGAAAAGATGAGCAACTCTTTGCTGATTTATTTTATTATGAATTTACGTAATAAAGACAGACAAAGCACAATGGGGATTTATAGGTCTACAATTTTTTTTTTTCAAATTTTAGCCCAATAAACAATAGCAGTAAATTTGTAGGACATTTTAATACAGTAGAGCGTCGTTTATCCGAATCAATTGGGGACTGGGGTTGTTCGGATAACTTATTTTTCGGATAACCAATTATGTACGAAAAAATATATTAATTCATCCCGTGTTGAAATTTTTCTCCGTTGCGTGTCGCTTCCCGTTGAATTTTCGTCGATGTTAAGCCTAACGAAGACTATTGTATCGTTAAAAATTATTTTTTTATTTTGTACACAGAAAATAAATATATTGAAAAATATAAAAACAATAAAAATTATACATCAGATGTTAATTTAGTATCAAAAACGTAAAATATTTGAGTAGCCCAAGACATAGCCAAAGATTACAGCGCCACAGCACTGGCGAAAATTTAAATTTGTCGACTGGAATTCCTTCGGATAACCGACGTGTCGGATAATCGACCTTCGGATAAACGACGCTCTACTGTATTACCTATTATAAGAGACCTGCTTTAAGTATGTACTGTGTGATTAATTTAAAACCTTATTACTTCAATAATTTCGAATGGTACCAACAGATGGCGCAGTATGATTTAAATGGTTTTCAATCTGCTTCACCACTCTAGTGATTTATAATGCTCAATGATTTATCAGGTCTTCTGTATGTGTAGATGTTTGTGTTTGTGATATACGGTTATATATATATATATATATATATATATATACATACACACTACTGACACTCATGGTATACGATAACCGGAGTTTTGTGTATGGATCTTAGGGGAAATCGCTCATAATGTGAATTGCAAACATCTGTTATCATGAATGGTTCGTATGTAATTCGTTAGATCGATAAGATCTGGAAAGTCGTGAGATGCAATGGCACCTTTAATCACTCAGAAATTATAAATCAAAGCGTGATAAAATTATGTGTGACGTAATAATTGCAATTTAAAGACTCGAAACTCTGATAAGATTTGACTTACTTTTAAGGGTGATTGGTAAACAACACAGGGAAAGTATGGAGAGAAATCAGAAAATAAGCCCCCCAAGATTTTTACGGGTTTTTTTCTGTATGTATGGATATTAGTGTGTGGGAGGCACAATTTTCTTCACTCACTTTGAAGCTTAACTCTTCTGTCTTTCGTCGTAAAGTTCTAAAACTTTCTGGGAAGTTTCAGTTTTATATGCTATTAAATTTTGACGGTTGAAAGTCCAAGGGGTGGCGAGATAGAAGGGATGTATACTTTTTCATTGTTTTTTTGAGTTGCAATCACTTCCAAACCAAACCTTCATACTTCCCAATTTCCTCTAAAAATAGTTTGTATACACTTCCATGCCTTATCCATACGTCAGAATTTTCTTTGTAACTCATGGTCCAGTTGTAAATACTGTATACGCTAATACTCCATATACCGATAAGCTTAAATATTAAATCTATCACATGGCTTTAAAGAGGGGCTTCGCAATGGGGTTGGTATTGACCCCTTGGAGTTGATAAAACTTTACAAATATGAATAAAATTGGGAACATTTGGTAAATTTTTCAAAATGTATTGATGAAAACTTACAGCATCTACCCTTCTCACGAGAGATCCACGATGGTTCCATGAAAAGATCTATCTATTCGTGGTTACTATAGATGCAATCATATGGATTTAAAAACATCTCTTTATAAGAAAGTCCACCTTGACGGCCCACTGGACTTATTCTTGTCAAAAAGAAAAATAAGAATAAAAGAAAATAGTTAGAGACACCATAAAACCATTCCTCGCGTAAATAGGCTGCGAAAACTCCTTCCAGGTGGTACCCCTTTGGAACATCAAGTGTTACATTGCCTTATTCGAAATTCTCACCTTTTTTAATATCATACACGATAGTAAATATATAAGAAATCTGTAACATGATCTTTATTCGCGCAGCTGTGTAACACATAAAATCGATAACAATTAATATAATTTCAATAAATTACAATTTTTCTCAATAAAGTATAACTTGCCCGTTTAGTTCCCTGTTTTATTAAATTTAATACTTCCTTCTGTCTTTTTGTCATTCTTACTTATGCAGTTGACCTACAACCCCTGTCAATTGCTTGTCATTTATGTCATTTACCCTCTCTTTTGTCTTTCCTGTTCCTTTACATCGTCTCCTTTACCTAATCTCGCTCGTTTAAGTCTTTTACCCCCTCCTCGTGGCGTGTTAATTCGCCCTTTCTGTGACGTTTACACCGCTCTCTCTGGCCTTCAGTAACGTGTTGTAGCGAATTTAAAAATTAGGGGACCCGTGTACAGTATACTTTCTTATAAAAGATTGGTTTGGGGCCCCCACCAAACAGGCAATTGCCCTTTTTGCCCACAGGATAACGCACCACTGCTAACATTCTTACTCTCTCGTAACACAGAAGCCGTAGCAATCGGCATTACACTCACTTTGAACTAAAGCGTAACCGAATAATGACGTCACCGCAACCGAGTAATGGATTAATTTTGGCACCCGGCAACATTTCATATTCGTGTGAAAGAAACTATTACATTTTTGGCAGCCATTCAACACCGGAATCGGAAATTATTATCTATAAAATTAGAGATTTGCCTTGCCTCTGTACGTCTCGTCGCTTCTAATCTGAATACAATAGCTCGCATCGCGTGGCATTTACACATTTAAAACCTTTGATAATGACGTTTCGGTAACACACATTACACGAAAAAAGATGCATGCATTTAATAATTTCTTACGGCATTTATTATCACTTTGTCTTACTTAATTACACTGGCCTTGTTTTCGGCCATTTATTGCTCCTTTGTACCACTTATTTTGTATAGTTTATTGGTCTTATACTTAATTCCATTGTATCGTTTTCCGGTCTTTTCCTTATTCTCTTGCATTATTTTTTTACTATCGATCGTACTTTTGTATTTGTTTTTTTAATGCACATACGAAGTGTAACCGTAGTTTATTTTTATCCTCCTTTCTACATTGTTTGTGTCATTTATTTATTAGCATTTATTATTTACTGGTGCTACTCTTTCACATACCCTTTAATTTATATAATTTTACTGTTACTGTCTTTTCATACACACCATTTTATTGCTACTGCCCTTTTATTTTTACCGTTTTACTGCTAATTACCCTTTAATTTTTACCATTTTGCTGCTGTTACCCTTTTATTTTGACCATTTTACTGCTAATACCCTTTTAGTTTTACCATTTTACTGCTACTACCCTTTTATTTTTACCGTTTTACTGCTAATTACCCTTTAATTTTTACCATTTTGCTGCTGCTACCCTTTTATTTTGACCATTTTGCTGCTACTACCCTTTCATTTTTACCATTTTGCTGCTAACTACCCTTATATATACTAACTGACTATTTTACTATTCATTATTATTCTATTTTATTATGAGTTTTAATGATAAATACTGCCTAAAATAATCCATAAATGACGGAAAACTTTTGTAAGAATAACTTCTGTGGTTTAAAATAGACACTAAATGCTATTACTTATTATTCATTTAATGGCAATTTCCATGTTGCTTAACTTTTTCTATTGTCATTTTATCAGTAGTTAACAATTTTTATTAGCAATTTGAAGAAAATTTACAACCATATTTTACTGTTTTCGAAGAGTTTTTTTTACGGTTTTATCCAGAGTTAAAATTAATTTATGTCTAAATAGAAATGTACCTTTCTGGTTGTAGGCCTATATTTACCTTAATAAAACAATCACAGCATTAATTGTTATGGAAATGTTAAATTTATTAGCGTGCTGTGGCACTTCACAATGACACTTCACCTTTTTTTTTTTGTTGTGAATCACGTAAATAGAAAGCCAGACGTTATGGTTGTGGACGTTAATAAAATGGACATTATGGTTGTGGACGTTAATAAAATGGACGTTATGGTTGTGGACGTTAATAAAATGGATACAACAGCAAATTTCTTTGTAGTAATTCTTTGTAGTTATACTAAATTACTTAAACAAAAGCAAACAACGTAAATATATCGAATAATACTCATGTTATAACGGAATTTCTCGAACAAGTGCTACACCAGAACCTCTGTAAAGCAATACGAATGTAATTGTGACTAACCTCATCCTTCAGAAACACTTCCGTTATTATAAAATTTTCATTAAGCTCAATTTTATTATATTTTAAGATAATAAAAACAGTAAAAAACATTACGTCTTTCAGATTTTATGCATCACTTTCCAAGCGTAACACCACCTGCGAAATATCAAACAGGGAATTTTTTCCCCTTGATGATGCATATTTATCTTGTAACGTAAACATCTGTTCCCTATCAGAAACAAGAAAACAACGCTGTTCATCATCGAAAAATTTCACTTTTAACAACAAATTGGCTCCAGTTAATTAATCCAAGTCTATAAACTTATAAACAACGTTGTGTAATTTACCACCGTTAATTATAATTAATTACGAGGATAAGTAATACCCCCCTTTTCGTGATGTAAAATTAAACTAGACGAAGACTGGTCCTTCCACGAGGTTGACTCAGCCTCGTGTGAGTGGTGTGAAGCAGTAGTTTTTCACTAGAACGGCGACCAATGGCGTGGGGTGTTTCTAGAGAAACCTTGTCACTCGACTAGGGAAGCAACACTAACCACTTTGACAAACTGGCAGACCTCTTTTGGGGGGCAGGGATTGTACTTCGTCATTTTTTGGCATTGCGTTACTGGGAATTTTGGGTGTCCAGATGTATGGTGATGGATAGTGAATGCTCCTATCGAAGGCAACATGTTTGATGTAGCTAAATCGCTCTGCTTTGTATGCAGGGTCAAGAAATGCAAATCGGAATGGAGAGAATTCTTCGAGCAGGTGGGTACGATTTATTTATTCTTCGTTAACAATTAACAATTAACTTTGTGTATAAATAAATTACCAACAATTAAGCTTCTTCTCCGTTTTCCAATGTTCTCACCCATATTCATCGCTGCTTAGTTTCTATATAGAAATAGAAAGGCATTAACAGGGGGTTAGAATAGTAAAACGGTCTGTTTGTTGTATACAAGAAGTTACAAAGGCTAAACCATACCACTCTGTAAATGACTTGGAAGGGCTTGTTTATCCTTTAATTACAGTTATAGAGGCCTTATTTTGTATGTGTAAGAAGGTGGAAAGGCAAGATAAGTCTGCATAACGAACTAGAAAGGCCTTCTATTTATTATACTGTAGATAAGTAAAAGGACCTCATAAATGTCAACAATTAACGATTATTTATTGTAAATTAGCATGACTTAATGTTAAAATTTCATCCTTAGATGTCGTCACACTCAAAAACGATTTTTTTTGTGTGTCATAACTGTGTCATCGCGTGTTACGCTTTAACATTCGGCGTCTTTGCGATAACGACACCCGGTCACGTGACCACCGTTTAAATCTTTGCATAACGTACAGTAATTTGCATAATTCTGCGTGTCACACGAAGATCCTCGCCATCCGAGTAACAACAACGAGTGCCGGTGACGTCACAGTAATGACTCTGTTGGAAGAAGTTTATCTTGTAACGGTTAACACCCCGTATGACGTATAGCGTTGTAATTAGATCGCTGCAGTTTGGTTAGCACAATGGCCCGAGTCAAGAATTTTCCTTGAACTAACCATATGGCCACAGATATCGTGTTCGTAACAGGGACAAAAAAAAAATGGCTGACATCCGCCTACTGCACGGTTGTGCGTGCACATGCCAACGAGACCTCCCATTAATGTCCCGCACCCGATTTCTGGTGTTATTCTATCCGGGGAATGTTTTTCGTGTCCTGTGGGGGTTGCTTCACTCCCTGGACTGGCATTCGTCACCATTTACGAATGCAGAAGCCATGCGAGAAGAGGAAAAAAATGTCAGCTTCCACCCCACCCTATTCTGTGTCGGGTCTATTAGTATCACGTGACCGAGCTACCCTTTTTAAATACTTGCACCTCCCTTACAATAGTGAATGATCTACTCTTTCTAGATACTTGCAGCTCCCTAACAAGTACAGTAGTGAATGAGCTACTCTTTCTAGATACTTGCAGCTCCTTTTATTTCTGTAATGTGTAATTTCAGTTCGATTGCCGCTTTATATATTAACTTTCTGGATTTGTAACAAACATTACGAGATATTTGCAAATGTTTATTTATTATTTGAAGCATTTTTAATGGATTTTATTTAAGTGAATTTTCCAGGTAAGGGCCTTGTCAAGATAAATTCCTAGATACTGCATCTCATTGACATTTTTTNTTTTTTTTTTTTCAGGGTATCTAAATATTTTACTGAAGAGTCAACTTCACGTCCCACCCTGGTTAAGTCACAGGTATGAAATTTTCTTCAACATCTATTATCATGGAGACTCTTGTGTCAGGAGTATGTGTTTCTTATTTCAGTCTTGCGAAAACTTTGCACTGATGAACGAAGAGTCTGCATTTGACCCTACTCTTTCTATATACTTGCAGCTCTTTTACAATGGTGAATGAGCTACTCTTTCTAGATACTTGCAGCTCTCCTACAAGTACAGTAGTGAATGAGATACTCTTTCTAATACGGCTCTCCTACGAAACAATATATAAGCACATAGAAAAAAATACGAAAATAAAAGAATCTGAAATACTGGAACATAACGCTTATAAGTAAATACTATCTCCCATAGTAACACGTGTTACTGGACGTAACTTAATTGGTATCACATTTCTAAACTGTTTTAAATTTTCCAGCCACATCTGTGTTAATTACTTAAAAATACAATGCGTAACAGTGTAACGATTTTCAATGAGAATTATATCGGTTCGTGGGAATTATACATAATAATCTGGGGTGCATGATCATAAATATGCTTCTAGAGCCATATATTATTACCATAAATATATGCTAATTTACTTGCAGAACTTCAAATACTCGCCTTAACCATACTAAGTTATGCTTATAACAGTTTCCAACTGAAATTTATAAAGGTAAATAAGACTAATGATGAGTATGTTCTTGTATTTAACCATAATTATAATCTATGTTAGCTATATAGCGACTATAATTAAATTCTATTCACCACTCTATATTACTATATCTTACATTATAACTTATAATGGGGTTAAGGTTTATATTGCTACCATAAACCGGTAGCTATTTATAAAAGCATGGTTTATAGTAGTAATTATTATAGTAACTTACATGGTAATACAGTTATACTTTATGGGATTCCTCGACATTTTATTCAGTATAGTGCCTAAGGTTTTACCATAGCAAAAGAATATGCAACATAAGGACAAAATATGCAATATAAACGTTTAAATTCTATTATACCATAAGTATAAAGTCTGTCCTTAGCGTTAATTACCATAGCGCTAGTTCGAAAACTGAAGCTATGGTAATTAAGTGTTATGCACGTATAACCACGAGACGAGGTATACGTGCGTAATAATAATAATTACCCTGGATAATACGTTTTTACAGTCATTTACTGCCGATGCTATCAGATATTCGCGCGCACTTTTTACGAATTTGACCTCGAAAAGTGGTTTAATGGCTAACAGACGGTCGAAGACACACCCCGTTGTAACGCATTCGTTAACAGAAAAAAACATAAAATAAGCGATCGAACGTCAACTAAAACAAAATATTTATTTAGTTACGCACAGGAGGGGGGTTACTTCTAACACGTGACTAATAGAGAGCCATTTTTAGGTGTGACGACTCGGTTTTAACGCACGGTGTGACTGCACTAAAAGCGGAAGAATGGCGATTAATACGAAATAGGGAAAGGGGGAGAAGGAGAAGAGAAAAAAGTGAGCGTAGAGAAAGAAAAAAAGAAGAATTTCCTGGACGTCGACCCAACAGTTGCTAGAAGTGGAGGAGTAATTCTATCTGAGAACAGACAGATAAAAATACTCTTCCCTCCCTCGCCCTAATCAACGATCCTTTCTTATTTACAAACATTCTGATGAATATTGCATGCTTCTATTCAATAATACTGTCTCTTATAATTTACAACAGACGTAATACAAGTCTGTTGTAATATTTTGAATAAAAGACAGCAAAATCGTTTAAAAATACGTAATTTAAAAGCATAAAATATGAATTTCTAGAAATACAATTGGTGCCAAAACTCGTCACTAGGGGACTTTCGGCGCTGCGAGCAACGAAAATGCAGATTCTTTAGCGTAAGAATACGAATTGCAGCCACGTTGTGTATATAACAGTAGTCGCAATTAGTGTAATGTCATTCTTAATTTTCTACTGTTTTATGGAAACAACGGTTGTACAAAGATAACTCGAGTTGTCTGCAGCGCCAAAATGGCCCCAGCGGTGAATTTTCTCGATAACTTTAATTTTTAAGGAACTGTCTTCCGCACATTCCAGATATGGCGTGCATTTGGGTCTGGTAAATACTCCTCTATAAGGGTGCTTTAACTACTAATCACCCTCTATCGTTTGTACAAATGTACGAATCAAAGTCCACAAAATAAAGTGTTTCTTTATTGTAGAATTTTGCAAACAGAAGTCAAAGAACTAGTTCTTTGACAGCGAAATACTATAAACAGCTGCGATTTGCATATTTCAAAACACAAGAACATAAACACAAGAGTCAACGTTCTTATACTTTTCCAACTGGATTTCTGCTATTATTATTATATTTACTACGTTTTATGCAACTATTTTAAAGAAGGAAACACTCCTAATTGTTGATATTCTGCAACTTTTCCTACTTTGCACTCAGTTATATTTCAATACTAAATTCTCCTTTTCTTCACTTACAATTGGTCACTGTGGCTTAAATCTTTGTTTACTTCAAAATTTTTGTTCCTTAGTTGCTATATTTTAGTGTTTTAGTTTGAAGTTTCAGGCCTTTTCTTTAAAAAAAAATTACTTTGGTGCTGTATGTCGCGTGTAGCATGAAACTGTTGACTGCAAAACACACGAAACAAATGATCTTTCTTACGGTAAACATAAATTCCTTTGTTTTAACTCGTGTGAAAAGAAACACGAAGCTGTGTCGTTGTTGTTTCTTTCTTCTGCTAAGTCACACCGTGTATTATTTACGTGTTCTGTTTATAGACACACTGTCATTTGCCTGACCTCACAGGTGTGTAGATCGAAAGGTGTATGCTCTAGACAAGGTTTTTGATCTCTACCCTCCAGCTACGTATGACGTAGATAGTTTTATTAAAAGGTATTTTAGTGTTTACCGCGTGATTGCTAGACTCGGTATATCGGGTGCTTGACATCCGTAACCGTTTTATTCGTAACACCTGTTGAGAAAGTTGATGCACGTGACTAATTTCGTACTTCCCTTTCCCACAGCTCGGAAGGGGAAACGATGATTACGACAGCAATTGTTGCCATTACCATTATCACACGCTGTCTAGATACAGCAATTCAAGCTTTGTGACCAGCGAGGGTGACATCGATTTGGTAAAGAGCGACATGACGCACGAAAAGGAGGACATTTTGGCAGACGTGACCCACTTAAAGTGCAGTTTGGGACGGCTGATAAGTCAATATCAGAGAAATGGTAAGTTGTAACGCAGGTAACACTTGAGCCTCGTGTTTATCGTAAGTGATCGCGTAACGGGGATGAGAGGCAGTTACTCAGTTATTAGTTTAAGTCACGTGGTTGCTGCCCGTCACATCCGTTAACGTGACGGAACGGCTAGACTCGGTGTCGCCTGTAAGTGACGTTAATTGGTCACTATTTTCTGAAGTGGCTACGTGACAAATTACGGAATGTCATAGAGTGCGCGAGTATTGTAACTCCGTGTGTCGTCACTTTAGATAACGTTTACAGGGATTGCCACCCCGCCAGACTTCGAGACGTCACGTTCGTCGTGTTTCAATGGAGTACGTGACTATACACCCATCGTTAGTCTAAAGTCATGTGACCCTAAACTAGTTCCCTAGTTCCTTATAAGTCACATGATCGTATCGTGATTTTCGTGAAAGTGACAAAATTCGTGACGTACGACAATCGCGTGAGGTTTAACTAGATCCACGCTCCTAAAAAATCGCGTAGGTATCGAACACTGGGTTGTCGATTATCCCAGTGTTCGAAAGGAACAAACTGTAGTGAGAAGTGACGTCAACGAAGCTGTGACGTTAGCACTTTGTTTTACTATTGATTCCATTCACCTCGCTGTCAAAATGGGTTGCGCGCTCGCGACCAGTACAATAACCTTTGTACACCCTCCGTTTCTACTGTACAATGCACTATTTATCGAACGTCGTTCGACAAGGTAACAAATCACCGCGGGGGGTAGTAATTACACACACAGTTACTGAAGAGGAGGATTTGATAAATCGATCACGTGACCGTTTTGTTCAGTGTGTGCCGAATACACAATGTCGATATAAAAGGGTTCTTTTGAGCATTTTATATCGTGGGGAAATGCGGATGTGACGTTAAATTGACGTAACACTAAACGGAGATCGAGAGCTCTCGGTCACGTGATTTACATCATTCTCGTTACAATACAAAATACGTACAAATCGTGTTATTCGAATGAACTGGAAACTGATTGTGTTTTTTTTACACTGTTCGTGACGTAGCCCGGATGTTACGTAATTGATACATTTAATTACTGAATCGATACCGTTAGTTACAGTTAGTTACGCGAGTCCGACGGATGTGACGTGACGTTGAATCGCGTGAATCGATTTTCCGCTCTTCGTCTCGCGACAATTAAAGCAAACACGTGACTGATTAGGCTTGTCTATGGTCAAAAGTGACGTAAAAAAGGGCAATTACGTAATCAGATATTGTCAATAACAATTTTAATTTGGAACGGAATAAATCAGTTTAATGTGACTATGAACGAAACCCTACGTTTTAACACACTTGTTATGTGACAGTATCTAAAACCGGCCCGTATATAACGTGACACTATATAAACTAGCCCCTATAGAACGTGACAGTATCAAATATACTAATCAAAACGTGACACGTGATCGAACTTTTCCTGTTATTATTAACACACGGCGTAACACGTGACAAAACTTAGCCTGTCACTTTAGTAAACTTGACAGGTGCCTGTACATACTAAACTACAACACGACACGTGTCCGAAATAAGCCTGTTATTAATAAATAAAGTGCTGCATACGATATACGTGAAGGTGAGCCAATACTGTTAATGAAACAGAGCGTCACACCCGATCACAAAACGTAAGTAAGTAGTAACGTGTCACGTATATTATACCACGTGAAATCGCAGCGGACCGTTAAAGCAAAAAGCGTTACGCCGAAAAATCCTGGTAATAACATTGTTTTCGACAAGCAAACTGTACACGTTGTGTGTGACCCGTGTTTTTTATTGTATTTACAGGACACGAGATGTTGCAGTCCAATGCTTTCCTTGGTGTTGCCGAAGTGATACAAATCCTACGCAGAATCACAGAAAAGTGGCCACCCTTCCAGTCACACAACTTACTCATTGCCACAGAGACCTTAGCCGAACTGTCAAAGGGTAAGTCACTTTTAAATCTCCCGTAACACCTTAACTGGAATGGTTATGTTTAAAACTCATTCGTGACGTAACAGGTAACGGTACCAGACAACCAGACTCGAGACAATGGTTAGCTGCTCTGGAACGTTTCTCCCTAGAATTTAACAACAGGTAAGTCTAGAATATTTCATAAAAAATCCCTAATTTCCCTACCATAAGTTTTGAGATTTTAGAGAAATGTTCCTCGCCATCTTTAGAAACGTCATGTGACTCGCCGCCATTCTTACGAGTCACGAATTTCGTGAAATTTAAATCGAATTATAAGCAAGAGTTACGTGACTGAACAACTCTGTGAGTCACGTTTAAAGTAACGTCACAGGTCGATCTTATCTGGTTATGTCCTTAGATACGTAACAGTAATTCGAGACAAAAGTATCAGTTTTTCAATTGTTCTGTCGAATTTTAATTTGACAGAACAAATTTAAGCTGCAAATTTCGAACTGTGACCTCCGCCATTAGTCAAACATCCTTGATGATGCCTTACACAAGCTAACAAAACTGAGGCACGCCTGCTGTTAAGGCCGTAACTCCGGGGGGAAGGGAGGCGTCACGTGATGGCTCTTCGTACGTCACCGTCAGTGACTATACTCTGTAACTTCCTGTTATCGATTTTTACGAGCTTATTATCTCGAAAATATAACGTATCGAGGAAGAAAATTCGAGTTGGTTAGTCAAGCTTTTCCGTTTCATTCAAAACAGACCCGGTTAATTCGCTCGACAATAGCGAAACTCGGTCCAAAAAAAAAAACACACCCCTTGGATCACGTGTCCCGGCCGAAAAATCCTCCACCTTAACGACCCACATGGGAACAAAAACAGCGATCCGTTTCCTTTTGTTCGCCCTCAACCTGTAAACAAACATTAACCCGCACTAAACAATCGTTAAATTGGATAAAGGAGCTTTTATTGTGTTTATTTTTAACTTCACCCCTCGTTAATGAATATCTCTTTTTAATGAAATGAGCCATTTACCAAGTCTTTTTTTAAATATTTTATTGGAAGGTGTGACTTTCTCCGAGGCTCTTTTTTCTGCTTAAATTCTTACTTATGCTCTCGCGTATACAGGGCCCTAATTAGCCTTAAATAATGTGGCTTCGGGCACGTCTTTTTCAATCGCTAATTTTTCGAGTTTTAGGGCCTTTCCTCTTGTAAAAACACACACAATTAGTTAAAAAAAAACTACTCCACACACACTGTTGATTATTCTGTTTTATACGAATTCCATGTTGTACGAGTCACTTAGATTTTACAAATATGTGAGCCGTTCACAGCCCGGCACACTTATTTGTAATATCTAAGTGACTCGTACAACATGGAATTCATATAAAACGGAATAATCAACAGTGTTATAGGGGGTCGACTGTACAAGAAACCTTTACAAAATGTCACTTTCAAATCTCTGTTTTCACAATAAGTTTTGCCTTATAAAAAAGCAAATAAAGGTTATTTTCTTAAAGGAATGACAGTGAAAAATCCTTTAAAATACAGGTTTTTTTTCCTGACTTCAGGATATTGTAGCGAAGAGAAATTTTTTTTGTGTGTCTAATGATGTGTAAAATTGCATCGAATGAACTTGTATAATGACATAGAAAGTATAGAACAGGATAATCGAACGTCTTGTTTTTTTTTTTTTTCAGGGTATCTAAATATTTTACTGAAGAGTCAACTTCACGTCCCACCCTGGTTAAGTCACAGGTATGAAATTTTCTTCAACATCCATTATCATGGAGACTCTTGTGTCAGGAGTATGTGTTTCTTATTTCAGTCTTGCGAAAACTTTGCACTGATGAACGAAGAGTCTGCATTTGACCTGGACGATGGCGGTAAGAATACCTTTACTTCCCTAAGATATTGGGTTTTAATTTTTGTATGGGCCTTACACCTATCCAAAAATCGTGAGAAACTCCCTCGATAGATCCCGACACGTTGTTAGATAATAAGAGCAGAGAAAATTGCTAATAAAGACCCGGAACTTCATAGAAAATAATAAAAATTTCGGGAGTTTATGACCTAAATAATGAATTAGGAGGCGAAAATTTAGTTAAATTCGGTTTTCACAGCGCCGTGTTTTATACCTGGGCGGTGTGACCGAGTGATTTATTAGATTACAGTCGTATAAACAAAGTTTAAAGTTAAAAGAAGACGTGTTTAAATGTTTATATAAAATACAGGATATGTTTTAACCCTTTTAGACAGCCCAGACGATAAGGATATCAATTTGATGAAGCTTAAAGAAGGTGTAGACTTTGCCCTTCACCACTTAAAACTCTGGTCAAAGTACGCTAAAGACATCATCAGTTACATTGAAAGAAGGACCCAATTCGGTAAGAAAAATCATTTTTTTAATATTTATTCTTAGTTTTATGCTTATAATTCAAACGTCGATAAGAATAAAACGAGTTTTGATTCATACGTTTAAATATTTATTAAAATTTAAATATAATTCTGACGTCACATTCGTAGAAATTTTATTTCCACTAGAGAGCGCATTTTTATATTTCTTGAATCCTTTGGATTTTATTTAACACCCTCTAGTGGAGGAAAAAAAATAGAAAAGTGTGACGACATAATTATGTTTCGAAATTTATTTATTTAAATAAATATTAATCAAGAATATTTATTTATTTTTAATATCAAAACGTTATATTTATTTACTTTATTTAAATTCACTGTTAATTAATTCATTGACCTAAATGATACGGGATTAGGCTTGAAAAAACTCTTAAACTAAAAATTCTTTTGATTGGTCCTTGAAATGATTTAGTAAAATTAATTAATTAAAAATTTGTGAGATATTTTAATTAATTTGTATGGTTTAACGTCATATAGAAGTGGAGTATGCTCAACAGCTGGAAAAGTTGGCGCAGTCGGCAAAATTGGCACTCAAAGAACACGTAAGCGGTCTCATGCCATAACTAATTATACTTTATTAATAATTTTTATTATAGATTATAATATTTTTACAGATTTTCCTCCCGTTCCATTCTATATATTCTTCAGCAGTTCATCAAGATATCGAACACGCCGCTATACGCTTGCAGTCTGCTGGACAACTGCAAGGCCAGATTTTTATTGAGGTATGAACATTGATAATTAATTATATTTTAATGTAGATATGTTATTTTGTTTATAAATGTATTCAATAGCCTCTTGCAGCACAAGTTAGCGAAGTCGAAAAGGTTAGAAAGCACTTAAAAGATGTCTGGCATAGAGAGTTGAAGAAAACTGTAAGTATGATTTTCCACACTTTAAGTCACACTCGGAGTCATTTGTATTCCTAGATGTCGATTTTTCATTCTAGCACGAAGCAATAAATAATTTAACTAGATCGAAAGCTATGTATATCCAGAGAAATCAAGAATATTCTAGAGCTAAGTTGTTGGCACAGAAAGTGGAAAATGGCCAACTCAATGGCAAAGTCGAGAAGAAGAGAAGAGTAGAAGATGATGCTTTGCAGAAAGCCATGGAGGCAGAAACAACTTACAAAGCGTGTGTAGTTGAAGCTAACGAAAGGCAAAAAGCCTTGAACCAAGTGAAAGTGAGTAAAACCAGACATTTACACGCGCATTTTTGATAGTTTCAATACGTATTAAGTATAATCTCTTCAGAGGAATCTTCTACATCAAGTAAGAGAATTGGTTTATCAATGCGATAACATAATGAGGACTCTCACCTGTAACTACTTCGAATTGCAGTTCAATACGTATTCTACTTTACCCGAGCAGGTATGTTTTTTTATTATTTATAAACAGAAGAATCACAGATCGTCAATATTGAATTTTTTCTTGCAGATTAAGTCTTTCTGCGTAAGAAGCAAAGATTATGAACTTGGTATGCAATATGCAGAATACATAAAAAAATTACCTGTGCCTGATGAGGGAACATTACGGACGAATCAGTTTGTTTTCGAGCCTTATATACCCGAGGAAAAGTACGTTAAGATATACATATTTAAGGATTTAAACGGTTGCTTATTATAAAATATAATTTCTCTATTCAGTTGTAGTGATTCTCAAAACGATTCGGGTAACTGGGAATCACATGGTCACACGTTTAAACTGAGGAGATCTTTAAGTGAAGCCGAAGACGAAACTAATCGCAATCGTTACTCGAAAGCTGCCGAAACGCATACGTTCAGAAAATTAAGAACCCCTTCAAAATGTCGTCGTTGTGAAAATTATGTGTACTTTCAGGGCGTAGAATGCAGTGAGGTATGTCCACACTCAGTTTTAATGCTAAACACTGCTTCAATGCGGTTTGAAGATTGCTTAACTCTTTTCAGTGTGCATTATCCTGTCACAAAAAGTGTTTGGAATTTCTAGTCATTCAGTGTGGTCATAAACGGCTACGTCCCAAAATGACGACATTTGGAGTCGATTTGACTCAACAGGCCGAAGAGACGGGTGAACCTATACCACTTCTTGTAAAAAAGTGTATCTCCGAAATTGAACGAAGAGGCTATTTCAGTAAGGTATACTACTTTGATTAAAAGCTCGATTATAATTATATTTTACACGATTTTCATTCTTCTTTGATATTTGTAGGGCCTCTATAGAGTCTCCGGAGTTAAATCGGATGTAGAGTCTCTCTGCCAAATGTTCGAGAATGGCCCTGACTTAGTCGATTTAACTGAAGTTCCTATAAATGTTATTACTAGTGTTCTTAAACACTACTTTCGACAGGTATGTTGAACAATTTTTGCATCATATTACCATAAAAATTGATAAAATTTAAGAGGGGAGAAGATGAAAATTTCAAAGGTTATATTGTATATAATTTCTTCGATCAGAATTAAACACCATCTGAAATGTATTATGAGAGTCGTTGGTGTATTGATTTTCAAATTAATCGTTACTATGTGAAATCATAAAACACATACTTCATTTGAAATTTATCTTCTGTTCGTTAATCTATGGGAAGATATAAGAAATACAAAGTTTCGTAGTTCTTATGATCATGTGTACAGGTTGTATCGGGAGGAAAGGTAACTACAGGAGGTGAATGTATGGGAGTAGTACATGAAAAAAGTTCTATGCGAATATGTTGTTTACTAATATTAAGAAAAATACAGAGGTATTTGACACAAGTATTAATGTTGCTTCCGATATCCATGACAGGAAGGAATGATGATATCAGAGGGTTTCTAAAAGTGGCCACCCTATTTTTGGGCACAACGTAGTAAACTGTGTGTACTTCTTCGAAGTCAGTCCCTATCCTCTGATAACTGTGACAGCCTTTTTTTTATCGGGACAATAAGTTAATCACGGGAGGGTACCTTTTCTCAGTACACTCAGTAGGCTTATGCAGTTGGAGGTGTGAAAAGAATTTTGATACCTCTACTGGTATTTGTGTCTTTTTCTCAGAAATCATTCATTTCCATTGGGAGATGCAGATGATTCCTCACAGCAACAGAAAAATCCCATGAGGTGGACCCTCGTGGAGTTTTTCTCATGTGAGGTATAATCTGTCAAAGTATTTGCCTTTCCTCTTATTACATCCTTTATATAAACTGTATTGTTATTTATACAAGTACTTATATTGTCAATTAACTGTCATAATTCGCGAGCATCATGTTTTTATACATTTTTTTCAATTAATTTTTCTTACATACAGTTACCCGAACCCTTGCTAACCTATAATTTATATTCAGAGTTTATAAAAATCGCAAAGGTAGGTTTATCTGTGTGATATGCATAATTCTAGTGATAAATTTTATATTTAAATTTATAATAAACAAAACAATTTCAGGAAAATCCACCGAAGAAAGAAGAAGCAAACGAAGAAGTTATTCTAGATAAATTACAGAATTTAATTCAACGATTACCTCCCATTCATTATGTCACTTTGGCATTTTTAATCAATCATTTAAAAAGGTAATAATATAACTTATAAAAATTTCATAAGAAATGTATTTCATCGGTTAATCCTTTTAAATTTTTCATAACTTTAAGGGTTGCCAAATTATCCGAATTCAACAACATGCCATCTAGCAATCTTGGTATTGTCTTTGGACCAACGCTCATGAGAACTAGGTATGGTACATTTTCATGCGATATCGCCTGTTTTTGTTAGAATTAATTAATATTCCTTCTATCAACAGAAACGATACAAATTCCATCTCGTGTCTGATGGATACCATACATCAAACACGAGTCATCGATCTTCTAATTACGTATTCCACTGATCTCTTTGGATTGGAGAGAAATCATGAAGAACACCTGCAAAAAACTGAACAAGGTAAGAATTTTGCATCACGTTTTGACAGTTTTACATTATTCCATATTGATGTAATTTGTTTCGTTAGTAGTATGGCAAAGAGATCTTTCAGGAATATCGTGTACGATGGCTTCTCCTGACAGAAGAGGTTCTTGGTGCGTTACATCTACAAATGAGAGAGTGTTTTTCCTATCTACCATTAAAGAAGATTCGCGATATCAGTCCTTGCAAAGGTAAAGTTTTCATCCTTATGTAATCCATTGAGTTTTATGCGCCATCAACTTGACACGTTTACATTTCAGGCAGCCAAAACTCCCACCTTCAAATACGTACACAACATCCTACGATAGGAAGAATGCCCACGACAAAGGAAATAGAAATAACGATGCCATATATGAAAACGTGAAACCTCATACAAAATTCAGAATGCGTGATAAAATTGACTATCCTGAAGAAGATATGCTATCTACCATATCTTTAAATTCCTGTCTTCCATATTATAACCTTTCTGAGGTTCATTTTGCTGGAATCAGAAAGCCAACGGTTCCTCTTTCTATCTCATTAACAACGGAATTTTTAGAAGACCAAGAAGATTCTAAATATTCTGGAAGAAATTCGGATCCATACGAATGTGGCACCAATATTTGTATCGTGTGATTCTTGTATATATAATTACGTATATCATTGACGACCGCATATAATCGGGACCACCGCCGATCTTCTTGTACAGTTTTTCTACGTTCATTTATTTTATTTTTATGTACATACTTATAAGCATAATGAATTTTATATATTCGTTTTTACATTATTCTCACGAAGAAAACAGGCAATTAATGTATATAAGCACTTTGATATTTTAGTAAATTTATACATGATAAATTGTGTTTGAGTTTTGCAATATTAATTAAACTATACATAGTCCTTCTTGAACTTGTGTAGAAAACAACTAAATATGAATAAACTATATATTTATATCAACGTAAAAGTACTGAACAGATACATTTAATTTTGACAGCAGAATGGCTGAAAGGTTAGATGTCAATCTACTATTTTGGGAGTCCCAGGATCGAATTTTGGAGTACAGCCCCAGAAATCTTTAGGAGTTGTCTGTCTCCGATTTGTTAGGCTTCATCCTTTATCACCCACTCTCCTCGTTATGAGTCTAATCGAACTCACGATGGTTATGTTTGACAAAATAAAATAACCTGGGCATCTGCCGAAGAGAATGTCTCCTAGGAGGATTTTCTACGAGAAAACTCCTTTCTATAAATGTTAGACACGTTAAGAAGGCCCAAAAGATTCTATCTGGCCAGCCCATTGGCCTGTCGCGAATCAACGATCCAGTGTTTAGTGGTTTCATCCATTCGGCCACTGTTGGGCTCGCCATGGGTATGGTATAAGGCCCTCCTGTGCCCACAGGAAAAAACTCTACATAGTACGATTCGGAGGTATTATTTCTCATTTTATGCCAATAATATAAGTAGTAGTAGCGACTATTAAGTAAACAGGATAAGGCTGTAAATTAGTTTCAAGTGGAAGTTATTGAAATCTAATGAGATAAGTTAATTAAGTAGCTTGTATATACAGTAGTATACAAGCTGTAGTAACTGTGAAGTGCCATTAAAGAATAGAGCTTTGGTAAAATAAACTTTTATGAATACAAATCAGCATTCTGTAAGTTTTGTAAATATGTTAATGATATGTGTTAATTAAGACAAAGTGGTAAATTATGCGCATGGAGAGCTTATTCAATTGTGATATTTATAAACTGGCTTTTATTAAAGAGAGTCGGTGTATAAAAGCACAAAAATAGAATAAAACTTACTGTTTTTAATACAGTCGACCCCCTATAACACTGTTGATAATTCCATGTTATATGAATTCCATGTTGTACGAGTCACTTAGATTTTACAAATATGTGTGCCGGGCTGTAAATGGCTCACGAATTTGTAAAATCCAAGTGACTCGTACAACATGGAATTCATATAAAACGGAATCATCAACAGTGTTATAGGGGGGTCGACTGTAAATTTATAATTTAGAAGGACGGCAAGATAGCCGAGCAGTTAAGATGATAGCCTATCGTTCAGGGGGACCGGGAATCGAATTCGACGAGTTGGTAAACCCCAGAATTTTTTCTGGAAATGGTTCATCCGGAATTTATGAGATCCACTCTTCACTTCCCAGCTGCCTCCTTGAGGGTTTGGCCGAAATCATAATGACTTTGCTAAAAACAAGGAGGCTCTTTTGGTGTCCACAGATTTCAAACTGCAGTGTCGGTCTAACACTCTGGTGGATCCAAAATCGAATCCGTGCGAGCAACCCGAATTCTTCCGATTATGTCGTCTACGCCCCTGCACCCATTATGGGCTTGACCACAGTGTGAACAATCGCCCCATTGTGGGTCTGGTCGAACTCATAATCTCCTTGCTAAAAAAACACTCTCTTAGCGCCTACGGGGTTGAAAGATATTTCAGAAAGAAGCCGGAATGTGGATCTTTTTGGGAATCTAGGATTTCCGGAACGGTATATTGCGCCCTTATTATTTCTTTATGTCCTGTCTTAAAAAGGGTTTGTACTTGTATTTTCCACTGGACACCGCAAAATGTGGAGTGGCTTTGCTAACCAGTTTATTAAATTTTTTTAATCATTTCCTCAACCTTTACCGCCCTATAGACAGTAACTGGGCCTTTTCTCACACTTATAGCGTTCGTCAGTCCCATACTGAAGCGGCCGCAGGTCATGAATTAAATAATTTTTAAAATCAAATTTAAAAGAAATAAATTATTTTTATAAGTAATTATTTCTTACGATCATTCTGTAGATATTAATAAATATCTATAATACAGAACAATGACAAAATAATTATTTAAATAGTAAATGGCAACACTTTTAAAACACCATGTGACCATCTTGCAACACATTACCACGTGGTTTCGTTTTCTACGTTGTTTGAATAGTTGACTTTGGTGAGAATTTTCTAAATGGGGAAAATTAGGAAGGAAAGAACGTTTCATTATACGACTAAGAAAAATCAGGATAAAAAAGTGCAAGAAACTCCAACAAACGTCGATACAGAGATGAAGGTTTGGTATAATACTAATTAATTGTGGCATAATATGTCTACGTAAAGAGAAATAAATTTTATATTTTAAGCTTGCATGCAATTAGCATAAATGCAATTAATGAAATGCTTTTCATTAATTAATTAATAGAGCTTTTGACACTCGTTGCGCCTACAATTTGTGGATTTCTGATGCTCGTTGCGCCAGGTAATGATCATACCATTGGAAGAAATATAAGCTGTAATATTCTGGTGCAGTGTTAGATTACAGCACATAGAAATCATGGAAAATAAGCATTTACGCCCCTTTAATGTAGTGACTAATTTAATACAGGGTCTTAAAAAAGTATGCTACCATTTGAAATTATTGTAATTAATATTAATTATTAACTGAGAACATCTTAATGTACATTAAAACATTGGAAAACTCAAATTTCCACATTTGCCTGTTAGAATTTCTCAATGTATGCACTTTGTGTCGTCCAACCAATACTTAAATCCTTCCTATACAGTGGAACAACCATTTAACCGGCTTGTATGGGACGCAAAGCCAGCCCTACCGTAGGGCAAACGGAGCAGCCGCTCCAGGCGCTAAGTCCTATGGGGTGCCTCAGTGGTAGAGAATATTAAAGGGTATAAATTAGGGGCAACCAAGGGGGGTGCCATAATGGGATCTCGCTCCATCCTAAAACTTGCCTCGGGCCAGCACTGATGGGATGGTCTATTCGAATAACCAAAAATTTAGATAATCAGAAAAATCGTAGACGACGTAAATAACACAGTTTATAGACTTTTAATTTTATATTTATAGTTTTTTCTTCGATGTAACAACCACATTCTTTCCTTTAGACATCATTTTTACTGTGTTTACTTCATTTCGCGAGTGTTTGAAGATGAGTGAAACGCGGGGAAACAATAGAGGCTTTAGAGTATTGAGTGAATAATAACTAACAAGGTTACAAATAATAGACTTATTAAAACACATTGACTGCCATGAGAAGAACAGCATTTTTATTGAACAAGAAAGTAAAAATTTTAAAATCTTAAAAGAATAGAAAAGGTTCAACAAGATATTAAGTAAATTCAAAGAACGCTCCCTTGAAATGCGTAACAATGAAAATCGTATGCTGATTTTTAGGAAACGAGTCATTTCTTGTTACAATTGGGAAAGAATGTAATTTGGAGTTCTTTGATTTTTTGCATTTATAGGTTTGTCCATATGTCTATCTTTCTGAGATAGGGATTGTGTTTTATAATTCAGATAAACTGGGTTCCGCTGTACTCGCTACGTCATATCCGACGTCGCACCTCCTGCAGATTACTTGTGTTGCGCAATGATGAGTGATTCTGACTTTGCAAACTGTAGAACACAAAACGCCTTCTCTTTTGTGGAGTTGTCATTTTTATTTACAACACTTTCTAGAGGTAGTAGATGAGACATTTGAATGAGGATATAATGTGAAATTCTGACAGTCACACTACAGTTTGTGTGTCACATACTTCCTGAATAATAATTAACATAATTACAGTAATTTAAAATGATTGCATACATTTTGGAAGACCCTACGTTACTATTGTAATACAGTGTATGTTAAGATAATATAAATCACTCTTCATAATTACGAGCAGATCATTTATTTGTCTCCTTCCTATTATTTTGTCCAGTGTGATTCCCATGTTCATTAGAATTTTCATGTAATCGTTTTTTATTAAGAGTAAGATAAAATTTGTTAAGACACGAATCATTCAGAAGCATAAATATATGTCATACTGTGTGCAATAAATGAAGCTGGTAAGCATTTCTTACAAAAATTAGTGTGTCTTTCTTTTCTTATATAAGTTTCCTTGTGTAAATCAATTTAGACAGGCAATATACCCTGAATTTTTTCTTTAACAATTAATATATTTGTAAACTTTTGTTTATTAATAGGGTTATCGTAATAGTTGAAGTCAAAATACAGACAGATTAGCATTAAAAGCACTCGGATAGCAAGGCAAAATGAAAGGAATTTATTCATATTTTTCAGTCTAGTAAATGTAGACATTGACATATATAATATAAAGTTTCCATTTACACTTTCCTTTGGGGCACAAAATGCAATTTTAAGTATAAGAAAACTATTTTACCACTTAGATAACAATTACTATCGAATTGAAAACCTGTATAATGAATGTTTGTGTGCATGTGTTTTAAGCAACATTTGCTTATGCAATTTGCCACCTAGCCAACAAATACAATAATAATTACCAAAAATTTAGCACCTTTTGTCAGATTTAAATTTAAGTTGTCATGATTTAACTATTAACTATACAATCATTTAAAAAGTATGGACATTTTGTTTATTTTTTTCAAAATACGGTACGGACGTGGACAGAGCCTTTAATGTACGGACTGTCCATACTAAATACGGATGTATGCTAATACTATTATTAAGCACTGACCAAGATTTTATTTCTGTCGGACATTGTCTGCATCTTGCTAGGATTAGAACTGCACGAACAAAAAGAATGAGTCTGTAAATAACTTTTAATCAGATATTATTTTAAGTTTTCTTTATGCGCCTATTCAAATAGCCTTATTAAAAAATTAGTTCTGTTTTTTAAAGCTATCAATCAACTGTTTGACAGGATTGTTGAGAGCTGAAATGGGGCATGGAAATAGAGTGAGCCCTTTTATCACTTCGTGGTCCCCTTTAGCTATATTTTTTGAACAAATAAAATATGTAGAATATCCCTTTATTAATAAAAAGCAGTCTTAAAGATTTTATATTCTGTTAGTAAAAATAATGTTAATTTTACACAGTAGGATGCTAGTGATAACTTCAATATCAAACAGACAACCAGATTCCTTTATCAGGCTCTTAAGGAAAAGTAATTAAGAATCACTGTGGCAAGATGCAGGCTGTCATCTCTTGTTAAATGTAATAATTATAAATAAAGAAATTAACTTTAGAATATTCTGTAAGAAATAATTGTTCCGGAGTGGACACAATCTTTAACTTGTGCTTACCGCTCAGATGAATACCTTTTATTTATAATTAAGTTATAATAACATTATGGTAGATTATAATTTAACTAAATATATGAGGTGTTTAACCTGAAAAAAACGAAATACAAAGAGACTTATCGCCAATCTTTTCTTGAATGTATCGAGTAGAGTTCCAACACCAATTTGGAGAATGGAACAATTCGAGAACTTTCTGGCATTGTTTCATGTATTCTTTTCTGAAATATTTCGGGCGCTGATTTAATTCCAAATGGTAACTGTTTAAATCTAAACTTCCCAAAGGGTGTTATAAATGTTGTCAAGTAAGATGATTCTGAGTCCAATGCAAACTGCCAAAACCCTGCATTAGCATCAATAATACTAAAGACTTTTGCATTATGTAATTGGTTGAGTATATAGTGGATTGACGCCATTGGAAAGTATTCTCTTTCAATATTCTCGTTTAAATTAGATAGAACAACGCAAGTTCTTATTTCGCCTGATTTCTTTGGAACCAAAACCATTGGAGTACACCATTCTGCAGATTCATCTAATGCCTCAATTATTCCCTTATTTACCATATCATTCAAAGTTTTTTTGAGCTTGTCCAAAAGGTACAATTGCTCTTGGGAGAGCTGTGGTACCTTAGAGGAACTGCTTGGACATAAGACTTCGCTTCAGGTTTAAGTTTAATGTGATAAGGTTTCTGTTCTTTCTCACTCCCTTGAAATAGATTGGAAAGTTCTTTAAACGGATTGAAAGCAGAGTTTAGTGTATGTATTCTTTTAATAATATTTAACTGTTTGCTTGCTTTACAACTTAACAAGGAATGATATAGTTTATTGATAACATATGTCTTCTTGGATGCAAAATCTCTCATTTCTTAGCTTCTCTGTAAACATTCCCACAACATCTAGTGTTTTCTTTCCAGGGCCATCTATTTGTTTCTTGTAATTTAACACAAAATAGCACTCTGTTGTATGTGTTGTGTAGTATAACTGTGACATCTGTCCCTGTGTCAATCTTGAAGTTTAAAGGAATGTCTCCCGTGAAAATGTTTGCTCTCCACTAATTAGACTGTTTCTATTACTCGACCCTTATACATGTGCCAAAAATGAATTTTGATTAGATTCTTTTATTTCATTTATACCCACTTTAGCTTCACAGACCTTTGTGTAATGACCTACTATTTTGCATTTATTACACACCACTTTACATGCAGGGTAATTTAGTATATTTCACAGCTTTTCCAAGCCAATAACAGGAATTTGAAGTTTTGTTTCTGGTAAATGAATCATCAGTAGCTTCCAGCTTTGAAAATACATTCGTTCTACGTGCAGTTTTGCCTAATTCGTATCTTATTTCTGGAATTGTTCTTAAAAGTTTTCTGCTGTTTTTTCACCATTTCAGCCTGTCTCGCAGTGTTTACTGTTTTTTCCATAGTTAGTTCTGTTTCCAGCTGCAAACGTTCAGACTTTTTGTCTCTAACGCTGCAAACTATTCTGTCTCTAATAATTTCGTCTTGAAATGAAGCAGACAAATCACATGTTTTAACAAGACTATATAACAAGGTAATGAAATTCTCCTCTGTCTCCTTTTTGTTAAAACTCAGAATAGAATTTATATCTTTTGCATATAACATTCTTAGTTGGGACAAGGTATTTTTTGAATGCCCCCTTAAATTTTGAATAGTCATTTCTATCCTCTTCTGGGAAACTAAATGACACCAAAATTTCCTCAGCTTTCTGTACCATTAAGTATATTAAAGAATTTATCTGGTCAGCTTCTTTATTATGGAGTCCAGGCATCGTTCAAAACGCCCTATCAATGTTCTCCAATCTTTGGGACGAAAATTAAACACTTCTGGCGCTGGGATCTGATACATTATCCTCTACGCTGCCACCATATATTATAAATGACTCGACTGACCAGATAACACAGATAACTCTTTATTAAAGACAAACTGAACGCTTGTATATTTCTCTGGCTCCCAGGAACTACAACATGGATGTCCTTTTTCTAGTCTATATCTCAACATTTTGTTATTATACTTGTATTTATACGCTATAGTGGGGTGAAGCAATAGCCAAATGAGTGTCGTGGAGGATGTCACAAACTAATAATGGTTGGTGTAATACTTGGTAATGAACACTGTCTGTACAACCATTATTAGGGGGGTGCCAATATCATAGAGCAACTGAACTCATGGTTTTTCCACTTATCACATTCACATTTTGAAAGGATCTCTTAGTATCCACAGGGCAGAGAGAGTTAAAAATAATATAAAAGACTTCTATTCCATCTTCTTTATATTTATGGTTAATCAGTAGTGGGTTAATGCATCATACTAAATGCCAAATAATTATGGGATCTTTCATTCCGATGACCTAGCAGGTGTGTATTTTGTTTATAAGATAACCCATGTTATGGCATATTTATGCATACAGCCATAAATGCTATGATGTACAGATAAGTCTGCTATATTTTAATTTTTATAAACTATTTCTTTGTGCTTTTTCGGCTTCATTTCATCACAAACTCTACTTGTGTTGTAATCCACAAATTCCATGAATTACACTGTAGAAAATATAACTTCAGAAATTTTTTTTTTACAGCTCCAAATATCAAATCTGGCTTCCAGTTTATTCAGTAGCGTCAACATTACCGAAGATATGCTGAAGCAAAAACTACCGGAGTTTGACCAGATGAGCGTCAAAAGTTTCGCGTCCAACGGAATGCAGATGTCAAAGAAAGATAAAAGGCGGTTAAGGCACCAGTTATTTATACAAAGTACCGTTGTGTATTCTTTATCCTTTATATAAATGATTTATTAAACTTTAAAATATTTAATTTCAAACTTAACTCTACTTTTAAATGGAATGCGTATTTTATTGTTTTGGCAAGATTTACGTTATTTACTTGCTCGGTTTGTACTTCCAAATGCTTTTGGGTTACCGTAATCAATCTTCGGAGATGCTTAAGACATTTATTTACAACATTTACGTCGGCGCTTGTCTGAACAATCTTCGAAACTATAAATCATTGTCTTCTCTCATTATAAAATCAATGGCTGTGTATCATTTTGTCAACTGTTGCTTGAGAACTGTAAAGAAATAATGTAAAAGAAAAACACGCCCGCTATGCTCCTGGCAAATTCAGGCCCTTAGTTTACATTAATCTGGCCCACAAATGATAGAAATGGTTTTACTTTTAGTATATAAGGAATATGCAAAATATTTGTAACCTTCTTGGAGATTGTAGAATTAATGTGATAAAGCAATGTAATATGGGAATTCTGCAAGATGAGGTGTTTTCTGAGTGGACTTTCTATAGGGAAACCGGGCCTTGTTTAGGTGTTAGTAAGTGAAGAAAACATGTAAACCTTCACTGGCCACCCGACTGGTGAGGCGCAGACCTACAGCTACTTATCAGTGTTGGATCAATTGAAAAGACGAGGTCCCTGTTAGATCTGGCTTGGGGATGTTTAGCCACAGTTTACAATTTGTCGCAAGTACCAAAATCAACCATCTTTGAACGTGGTCTAAATAAACTTCTGAGAAACTTTAGCTATTGTTTTTATCGCTGTTACTCCCAGATTTTAGGTGTCCACGAACTAATCGGATGAATCATTTTGTTACGCCAAATGACCACCAGATTACATCAGTCTACTTTTTTGCAATTATATTTAATTAATTACTAAGTAATTTGTCACTACAGGGAAGCATTAGATTAATTTCCATTCCCAAAACAAGGCCAAAGAGAAAGCTATAGTCAAAACCTGCTGCTATCAGGGTGTAAAAACCAATTTCTTATCATTGTCTGAACTAAGACTAACAAGAAATGTTATTCCTGCAATGTTCCTTTCATAAGGAGTTTTAAATTGTGGTTAAGATCTGGAATCCATCATCTCTACAATCTCTACAATATGAACATGAACCCAAAAGCCCAATTTATTGTTTAAAGCCAAAATTATCGGCAATAATGTTTAGCATGAGACGGTACACTGCCTATTTCTATACAAATTATTTATTATTTAATTAATTACATAGCCATATTTTAGTCTGATAACTTGGTAGTTTGTCTTACTTTAATGATAATTGTCCTCGTATAGTAGTCCCTTACAACGCGGGGATTCGTTACACGTTATAGAAAATCACGTTATCGAAACCTGCATTATCGCATGATTTATGAAAGTTTAAACCTTGGCCCGTATATTTCTAATCAACAAAATTTGAGGGCATCGCTTGCTTTATCTGCGTGTTGTACGGGACTCTACTGTAATTGAGGTTAATAGAAGAATGTTTACGACTTTGGCAGCATCTTTAGAACCATTAATATCATATACTTCCTTTTAATCACGGATGGCTTCATATAAAATATCAGTTCCTTAGTGTCTAAAACTTCATGTAGAGAATATAAGATAAAGAATACTTTATACAAGACACTGTTGTCTATTTCTTATTTTGATTTATATATATTAATTCAAAAAATTTACAATTTCAGAGATTAATGCAGTGGTGAAAAGGAAACAGGAATTAAAAGAGAGAGCCAAGAGGAGACAAATGCCCGTAGTTGGAGATATGAAACCCTTAGAAGACGCTCTTCCGACTTTAGAGCTTCTGTTGAAACAGAATAATGAGTACGTATAAATAAAACGGATCCTAAAGTGATAAGTTTACCGAAAAATACAGGATTTCTTCCAGTGTTTAAAGTAAAAACAAATGAAAAAAAAACCTATATCCTGCAGAAACTAAGCCCCTTTTTTCATTGTACCCATATGTTTGGCTAGGTAAGGGACAGGACTCGGCATATTCAGTATAAACTTACAAATATAATCTAGTTAATGTTTGTGGGTTAGGAATGTAATGATTCTTCTTTGTAGATTCATTTGTCACAGCTTATTTGAGGGTGCTTTAAAACCATTAAACAAAGACTTTGCAAATACGATTATTGTTGGCCAGTTCCATAACCAGAAATAAATCATTGGGGAGCGTACAAGGGCAAGATGAAAAATTCTGACTGGTTTTTTTCTCTTTTCCAACAGGCACTAGACCTATTAGCTACAGTCCAAGTGTAAGAAATGTAACAATAGCCTAAGTTTATGTTGAAAGTGAAAGAATATATTATAATATGTGTATAATATGCTTTCAGTTTCATCATATATATATACATATGTAATATAATAATTGAGGGAACTCAGTTCTCATAGCTTCCTGTAGCTACAACTCAACTGTTGACCATCAGTATGAGAAATCAAATAGGCAAAGTGTGGTCCACTAGTGTATTATCTGTTATATCTGAGGACACCATAGTCAACTATAAAATGCATTTCACATTAGTTGTGATGTGATGAACAAAGAGAACTTATATTATGAAATGACTTCATTTATATACTTAACTTTAACACAGTAACTTCAAGCAGAAATATAAACAATGACTGAACCAATTTATTGTGAATAACACCATAAATAACACTTGCTACCTGATGTCTCCACATAATATATTTCCATTGTGAGTAATTTTGTCATTTATACATTATGCAAAACCATCAGTCAATGTCTTTGTTCCAACAGAAGAAACTTGAGACTAAGCCAGAACCTTAGATCTAGATTTGGTGCTCAGTGGCGTAGCAAACATAACTGGCACCCAGAGCACAACACTATTGACGCCCCTCCAGAAACAAATCTTGTTTGTCTTGGAGATCATTTGGCGCCCCTCTGCGACAGGTGCCCCGGGCATGATATACCCCCTTGCCTCCCTCGCTACGCTAGTGTTGGTGCTATTTTCAAAATCTACTATGCGGGCTGTAAAATCAAACGAAAAGTATTAGAACTGCTGGCATGATGAAACTCTTGACTTCTAACTTAGAAGAAATCTGTAATTTAAAATAACATGGATGAAATCTAATAATGTTTGGTTACTTGACTGAGTAGCAGTGTAAAGATGTCAATAAAACTCAGGTTTCTGATGACTAATGGGCTAGCCACTCAGAATTTTCTTCAAGTGTAACTTCTAAATAGGGGCCAAGTTTCTAATAAGAAAGTCCTCCCGGAAGGCAACCCTCTTGGCAAATCACTAACGCGTTGTGTTGCCTTGAGTTAAGTAGTTTGTTTATATTTGTATGTGTTATGTATTTATAAATGATTTTATATGTATGTATGTGAAAGTTTTGTTTTTGTTCCTCTGCAGGAAAACAGAAGAAAAGAAGTCAACTAAACCTTTGGCTTGCAGATCAACTTATGCGAGGCAAAAAGCCATGTAAGTTTATATCGAGTAGAAGCAGGATTTATTACACAACACACAAACTTAGCATCTCCAAATTAAGTCCCTCTACAGCAATGTAACTCTTTCAATCTATGTGAAAACAATACTACTTGCCTCATTGTTTGCAACAGTAGCAGTCCCCCCTAGGACTGGGGTTATCTTCAATCTGACTCTTTTTCAAACTCTTAAACATGGCTTTGACATTGCTTACCATACTCTACACAGAATGTGTCAAAAGTTTCTGTGAAGGCTTCACAGAGTTACACACAAAATTTGATTTTGCTTGCTGTTCCATACATTATTTTGTACCTGCCAACTTCCTCTGACACTGTCATAAAAATTCAGTCCTTTCTTGCTGCTCACAATGGAGATAAATAACATCAATTATGCTTGAACATAAGCATATACTTAAAGAAACTGATATACACTAAGAATCTTATACAAGTCGACCTCCCTATAACACTGTTGATTATTCCGTTTTATATGAATTCCATGTTGTACGAGTCACTTAGATTTTAGAAATACGTGAGCCATTCGCTGCCCGGCACAAGTATTTGTAAAATCTAAGTGACTCGTACAACATGGAATTCATATAAAACGGAATAATCAACAGTGTTATAGGGAGGTCGACTTGTATAAGATTCTTAGTGTATATCAGTTTCTTTAAGTATATGCTTATGTTCAAGCATAATTGATGTTATTTATCTCCATTATGAGCAGCAAGAAAGGACTGAATTTTTATGACAGTGTCAGAGGAAGTTGGCAGGTACAAAATAATGTATGGAACAGCAAGCAAAATCAAATTTTGTGTGTAACTCTGTGAAGCCTTCACAGAAACTTTTGACACATTCTGTGTAGAGTATGGTAAGCAATGTCAAAGCCATGTTTAAGAGTTTGAAAAAGAGTCAGATTGAAGATAACCCCAGTCCTAGGGGGGACTGCTACTGTTGCAAACAATGAGGCAAGTAGTATTGTTTTCACATAGATTGAAAGAGTTACATTGCTGTAGAGGGACTTAATTTGGAGATGCTAAGTTTGTGTGTTGTGTAATAAATCCTGCTTCTACTCGATATAAACTTACATGGCTTTTTGCCTCGCATAAGTTGATCTGCAAGCCAAAGGTTTAGTTGACTTCTTTTCTTCTGTTTTCCTGCAGAGGAACAAAAACAAAACTTTCACATACATACATATAAAATCATTTATAAATACATAACACATACAAATATAAACAAACTACTTAACTCAAGGCAACACAACGCGTTAGTGATTTGCCAAGAGGGTTGCCTTCCGGGAGGACTTTCTTATTAGAAACTTGGCCCCTATTTAGAAGTTACACTTGAAGAAAATTCTGAGTGGCTAGCCCATTAGTCATCAGAAACCTGAGTTTTATTGACATCTTTACACTGCTACTCAGTCAAGTAACCAAACATTATTAGATTTCATCCATGTTATTTTAAATTACAGATTTCTTCTAAGTTAGAAGTCAAGAGTTTCATCATGCCAGCAGTTCTAATACTNTTTTTTTTACATTTAGTTAGAATTTCTGTCATGACTATCCCACTCGCAAAGAAAACATGCATACTTCGTGTAGCCTTGTTGCATTCCCAATGTCATAGCAATTACTTTGAAGTCTCCACATATTTTCCATTTGTATTCATTGTATTGTAATGAATTTATCATCCTTCATAAGAATTTGTAATTCTCTTTAGTCAAGCTGGCATAAGCAACTGGAACAGAGGGCATTTTATTTCCATTGTGGAGAAAAACACCCTTGAGACTTATTTTCAATGCATCTATGAAAAGTCTCCACTCCTGTGAACTGTAGGTGAAGTTCAGCACCTTCATTAGGCCAGCAACATCATTGTCACGTTCGATTATTACTGCATGCAGCAACATACACATATTTCTCTATAACGTCTGTGTTTGCCATGAACTGTGAATATATACATATATATATATACACGTTACACAAAAAGTATCCCTGACAACAAAATTCTGTTTCCAGATTTGAATTTCCCATGATAAATTGGTTTAGAATCAAACATTTTAATATCAGAAATAGAACCCTTGTCAAACAGTGTTATATGCAATTGTGAGAAAGTTTATTCCAGTTTTTACCCTACCTCATGTATATATGTACAGTGATATCCCGAACTTACGCGATAGGTGGGACCGAGTGATAACCGCATAAGTCGGGGTATAATATCGCAATTTGTGTAAAACCCAACTTGGATGTACGTAAGCTAATAATTGCTCTCGTTAATCATATCTCGTCTTTTGATTCGTTTACGGTTAGAAGAAATCACCACATAGAGTTTCTCAAGTGTCCGTAGATATAACAAAGACAGAAATAAATAACACAAAATAAATTGTGGCTATGTGTAGATTCCGCACAACACATCTGAACATGTAAGCCGAACAATAGTGTGGGGGATTGAGTAATCGAGAGTTGCTTGGCGCTCAAACAAAAGACGAATCAACGAGATGTGAAAATCGCATAAGTTGAGGTATTACTGTATATCAGAGCATGCTTGTTTGCTGCTCCCACTTGATAGTTAACAGTAAGATTACCAGCGAATAGTAACACCATCTACTGCAAAGTGGAAATGCCAGACATACAACTTACGGGTTTAGTTTGCAATGCCGTAACGATAACATAACATTGCGTATTTCTCACTGCACAATAACTTTTCACCCCTTGTATCACTTACTAGTTGAGATATGCTCATGCTAAACATTGGTAAATGGTTATTTTTGACAACTTAAATTCACATTTTTACACTTAAATATGCATATTCATTAATATTTGGTTAAACGAGAGTATTTCTAATTATTAAATTAATATATTTTGTAGGTTGGAAGATATAGCCATATTTCAACAAGTGTTAAATCATCCTTCCTTCAAACAGGATCCGGCAAGTACCATCAAAACTCATCTCCAAAACAAGTTACAATCCAACAACGTGGAAACATAATTTTCATTAAAAGAAAATGTTATTTTGTATTATTGAAATTGTAAATTAGTTTATATTAAATATTCATTTATTCTATGTGAAAACAGTGTCACTTGTTTTGAGAATTCTCTGACAATTCTTTGGATTAAGCGACTGATAGGTCTACAAAATGTTTTAAAACTGCTCGATGGCTGGATGAAACGAAAAAAGACGTAGCCTGCTGCTCCAAAAAGCTTTTGTGTCCTACTCGTATCATTAGAAATTCTTGTGAATAGTTTTATCTGGATATATGTCAGGCTCTGTTCTTCCTCATCTAGCTGTTCTTCTGTGGACATGGAGAAACGCATACTTTACATGGGAGAAAAAGCCATCTTCAAGCATCAGATTAATCAATAATACCAGAAGGTGCTGGCATGATTAATAGCAATACTTTTGGAGACTTGCAGGATATGATTAAAAGTCCCTCTTACCGCTCACACAACAAACACGAAATGAATTATCTTGCTGGAAAGGCCTCCAAACAATACAGTGAAAATACTGAACTGTGAGATTTGTTTTAATAGTATACTGGGGTATGGGGATGGCCGTACCTTTTAACGTGTGCCCCTTGTTTTTAGTCTGAATTGTCCTTTTCCTAATTCCCAAGAGAGCCCCAAATTTTATTATTTACAAACAGGAGAAAATTTATGACACTATAATTTATTATTCAAATAGAAACTAATAAATGGCATTTTGCCATTATCCAATGCAACTATTTTTATGTAATTATTTATTTGTATGTTGACCAAAACCATATTCCTTGTTTTCAAGGCCAAGTTTGCCTCAGAGCAACCAGTCCCATCTTGTAAGAGCACTGCTCCGACATTAAATCTTAGTGTTTGAAGCTTCTTGCATAATGTACGGTGCCCTTTTTAAATACAGTATATAGTCTTCGGGCACCACTGCTGCAGTAGCAATTTTAATACATTCCAGTGGAATTACCTGGTACCAATCGGACCATAACTGTAACCCTTATATCATCCTTTCTGAAACACAGCTGTATGCCAGTTTCGCAGTTTTTATCAATGAATAGAATTTTACAATATACCTATAACTAAACACTATATCGTCACACTGGAGTGCCTGGATTCCAGTTCAAGTTGGCTCGGAAATTATTATTGTGTTGAATTGGATATGTCGAGTCTTTTCTCGCCCCATGGCTTTCTTCATATTGGGATGACTGAACCTGCAATAAAAATTTAAAATATTCTCTTTAGTGTGGGCAGGAAAGAAAATGTTAAAGTTAAAAGAACCTGTAATTAAGGCGAAAGGCTTTTTAACTCTCCTCTTCACAGGTGCTAAGAGGGCAATTTTTCTAAGCAAGCGCCAGCCAGTGGCCAAGCGGTCTTCGTACCCTGAACACAGTTTGGTCATGGGTTTACTCCTCGCTCCGACAGGCTGTCCATGTGTAGTTTTCCGGGTTTTCTCCGCATCTGTAACACACAAATAAGAGCCAGTTTCCCTCCTGAAGACATCCTCCTAGGCAGTTCTCCAAGTATTGCGTTGCCGTAAATCAAACAAACCATCTAAGCAAGTTCTTAACGAGTGGTGAGGGGCGTGCCCCGACATACCTAGACGATCACCCCCGAAAAATTCCTGGGTGTTTTCGATATCGGAGCGGTGGGCTGTCACCTTAATCGCCTAGCCGTTAAAATTAGCGTTAACTATATAATATTTGATTCATATATTTTTAAAATTTAAATAAAATTATTATTATTCGTTACCGATATTAAAAACATATATTTTTTCTAATTGAAAAAAATTTACGCGAAACAATTTTAGTGTTGCCAGGTGTATCGTTTGACACAGCTGGCAACACTTAAACAAATTCTTTCGCGTGTGTAAACACAGAAGCTTTGTTTACGGGTCCGTCGCGTTTCGCGTAATCGCGTTTGTATTTTGAATTTTTTTTTTAAATACGTGAAATTAGAAATGGAAAGCCCGGTCGAAACGGCTAAAGACGGCATCAAGAAGGTTTACGTTGCCATCGAAGATAATAAAGAGACAAAGGTATTTATATAAATGACAGGTTGTTGTTCTCGGCGCCGCCATCTTTGATGCTTGTTGCGCCACCGGTGTTAGTTTTGGCACTTTATTAAACCACGTGGTTTTACGGTGTTTTGATAAAAGATGAAATGCTTACTGNTATTTAATTAATTACTAAGTAATTTGTCACTACAGGGAAGCATTAGATTAATTTCCATTCCCAAAACAAGGCCAAAGAGAAAGCTATAGTCAAAACCTGCTGCTATCAGGGTGTAAAAACCAATTTCTTATCATTGTCTGAACTAAGACTAACAAGAAATGTTATTCCTGCAATGTTCCTTTCATAAGGAGTTTTAAATTGTGGTTAAGATCTGGAATCCATCATCTCTACAATCTCTACAATATGAACATGAACCCAAAAGCCCAATTTATTGTTTAAAGCCAAAATTATCGGCAATAATGTTTAGCATGAGACGGTACACTGCCTATTTCTATACAAATTATTTATTATTTAATTAATTACATAGCCATATTTTAGTCTGATAACTTGGTAGTTTGTCTTACTTTAATGATAATTGTCCTCGTATAGTAGTCCCTTACAACGCGGGGATTCGTTACACGTTATAGAAAATCACGTTATCGAAACCTGCATTATCGCACGATTTATGAAAGTTTAAACCTTGGCCCGTATATTTCTAATCAACAAAATTTGAGGGCATCACTTGCTTTATCTGCGCGTTGTACGGGACTCTACTGTAATTGAGGTTAATAGAAGAATGTTTACGACTTTGGCAGCATCTTTAGAACCATTAATATCATATACTTCCTTTTAATCACGGATGGCTTCATATAAAATATCAGTTCCTTAGTGTCTAAAACTTCATGTAGAGAATATAAGATAAAGAATACTTTATACAAGACACTGTTGTCTATTTCTTATTTTGATTTATATATATTAATTCAAAAAATTTACAATTTCAGAGATTAATGCAGTGGTGAAAAGGAAACAGGAATTAAAAGAGAGAGCCAAGAGGAGACAAATGCCCGTAGTTGGAGATATGAAACCCTTAGAAGACGCTCTTCCGACTTTAGAGCTTCTGTTGAAACAGAATAATGAGTACGTATAAATAAAACGGATCCTAAAGTGATAAGTTTACCGAAAAATACAGGATTTCTTCCAGTGTTTAAAGTAAAAACAAATGAAAAAAAAACCTATATCCTGCAGAAACTAAGCCCCTTTTTTCATTGTACCCATATGTTTGGCTAGGTAAGGGACAGGACTCGGCATATTCAGTATAAACTTACAAATATAATCTAGTTAATGTTTGTGGGTTAGGAATGTAATGATTCTTCTTTGTAGATTCATTTGTCACAGCTTATTTGAGGGTGCTTTAAAACCATTAAACAAAGACTTTGCAAATACGATTATTGTTGGCCAGTTCCATAACCAGAAATAAATCATTGGGGAGCGTACAAGGGCAAGATGAAAAATTCTGACTGGTTTTTTTCTCTTTTCCAACAGGCACTAGACCTATTAGCTACAGTCCAAGTGTAAGAAATGTAACAATAGCCTAAGTTTATGTTGAAAGTGAAAGAATATATTATAATATGTGTATAATATGCTTTCAGTTTCATCATATATATATACATATGTAATATAATAATTGAGGGAACTCAGTTCTCATAGCTTCCTGTAGCTACAACTCAACTGTTGACCATCAGTATGAGAAATCAAATAGGCAAAGTGTGGTCCACTAGTGTATTATCTGTTATATCTGAGGACACCATAGTCAACTATAAAATGCATTTCACATTAGTTGTGATGTGATGAACAAAGAGAACTTATATTATGAAATGACTTCATTTATATACTTAACTTTAACACAGTAACTTCAAGCAGAAATATAAACAATGACTGAACCAATTTATTGTGAATAACACCATAAATAACACTTGCTACCTGATGTCTCCACATAATATATTTCCATTGTGAGTAATTTTGTCATTTATACATTATGCAAAACCATCAGTCAATGTCTTTGTTCCAACAGAAGAAACTTGAGACTAAGCCAGAACCTTAGATCTAGATTTGGTGCTCAGTGGCGTAGCAAACATAACTGGCACCCAGAGCACAACACTATTGACGCCCCTCCAGAAACAAATCTTGTTTGTCTTGGAGATCATTTGGCGCCCCTCTGCGACAGGTGCCCCGGGCATGATATACCCCCTTGCCTCCCTCGCTACGCTAGTGTTGATGCTATTTTCAAAATCTACTATGCGGGCTGTAAAATCAAACGAAAAGTATTAGAACTGCTGGCATGATGAAACTCTTGACTTCTAACTTAGAAGAAATCTGTAATTTAAAATAACATGGATGAAATCTAATAATGTTTGGTTACTTGACTGAGTAGCAGTGTAAAGATGTCAATAAAACTCAGGTTTCTGATGACTAATGGGCTAGCCACTCAGAATTTTCTTCAAGTGTAACTTCTAAATAGGGGCCAAGTTTCTAATAAGAAAGTCCTCCCGGAAGGCAACCCTCTTGGCAAATCACTAACGCGTTGTGTTGCCTTGAGTTAAGTAGTTTGTTTATATTTGTATGTGTTATGTATTTATAAATGATTTTATATGTATGTATGTGAAAGTTTTGTTTTTGTTCCTCTGCAGGAAAACAGAAGAAAAGAAGTCAACTAAACCTTTGGCTTGCAGATCAACTTATGCGAGGCAAAAAGCCATGTAAGTTTATATCGAGTAGAAGCAGGATTTATTACACAACACACAAACTTAGCATCTCCAAATTAAGTCCCTCTACAGCAATGTAACTCTTTCAATCTATGTGAAAACAATACTACTTGCCTCATTGTTTGCAACAGTAGCAGTCCCCCCTAGGACTGGGGTTATCTTCAATCTGACTCTTTTTCAAACTCTTAAACATGGCTTTGACATTGCTTACCATACTCTACACAGAATGTGTCAAAAGTTTCTGTGAAGGCTTCACAGAGTTACACACAAAATTTGATTTTGCTTGCTGTTCCATACATTATTTTGTACCTGCCAACTTCCTCTGACACTGTCATAAAAATTCAGTCCTTTCTTGCTGCTCATAATGGAGATAAATAACATCAATTATGCTTGAACATAAGCATATACTTAAAGAAACTGATATACACTAAGAATCTTATACAAGTCGACCTCCCTATAACACTGTTGATTATTCCGTTTTATATGAATTCCATGTTGTACGAGTCACTTAGATTTTAGAAATACGTGAGCCATTCGCTGCCCGGCACAAGTATTTGTAAAATCTAAGTGACTCGTACAACATGGAATTCATATAAAACGGAATAATCAACAGTGTTATAGGGGGGTCGACTTGTATAAGATTCTTAGTGTATATCAGTTTCTTTAAGTATATGCTTATGTTCAAGCATAATTGATGTTATTTATCTCCATTGTGAGCAGCAAGAAAGGACTGAATTTTTATGACAGTGTCAGAGGAAGTTGGCAGGTACAAAATAATGTATGGAACAGCAAGCAAAATCAAATTTTGTGTGTAACTCTGTGAAGCCTTCACAGAAACTTTTGACACATTCTGTGTAGAGTATGGTAAGCAATGTCAAAGCCATGTTTAAGAGTTTGAAAAAGAGTCAGATTGAAGATAACCCCAGTCCTAGGGGGGACTGCTACTGTTGCAAACAATGAGGCAAGTAGTATTGTTTTCACATAGATTGAAAGAGTTACATTGCTGTAGAGGGACTTAATTTGGAGATGCTAAGTTTGTGTGTTGTGTAATAAATCCTGCTTCTACTCGATATAAACTTACATGGCTTTTTGCCTCGCATAAGTTGATCTGCAAGCCAAAGGTTTAGTTGACTTCTTTTCTTCTGTTTTCCTGCAGAGGAACAAAAACAAAACTTTCACATACATACATATAAAATCATTTATAAATACATAACACATACAAATATAAACAAACTACTTAACTCAAGGCAACACAACGCGTTAGTGATTTGCCAAGAGGGTTGCCTTCCGGGAGGACTTTCTTATTAGAAACTTGGCCCCTATTTAGAAGTTACACTTGAAGAAAATTCTGAGTGGCTAGCCCATTAGTCATCAGAAACCTGAGTTTTATTGACATCTTTACACTGCTACTCAGTCAAGTAACCAAACATTATTAGATTTCATCCATGTTATTTTAAATTACAGATTTCTTCTAAGTTAGAAGTCAAGAGTTTCATCATGCCAGCAGTTCTAATACTTTTCGTTTGATTTTACAGCCCGCATAGTAGATTTTGAAAATAGCACCAACACTAGCGTAGCGAGGGAGGCAAGGGGGTATATCATGCCCGGGGCACCTGTCGCAGAGGGGCGCCAAATGATCTCCAAGACAAACAAGATTTGTTTCTGGAGGGGCGTCAATAGTGTTGTGCTCTGGGTGCCAGTTATGTTTGCTACGCCACTGAGCACCAAATCTAGATCTAAGGTTCTGGCTTAGTCTCAAGTTTCTTCTGTTGGAACAAAGACATTGACTGATGGTTTTGCATAATGTATAAATGACAAAATTACTCACAATGGAAATATATTATGTGGAGACATCAGGTAGCAAGTGTTATTTATGGTGTTATTCACAATAAATTGGTTCAGTCATTGTTTATATTTCTGCTTGAAGTTACTGTGTTAAAGTTAAGTATATAAATGAAGTCATTTCATAATATAAGTTCTCTTTGTTCATCACATCACAACTAATGTGAAATGCATTTTATAGTTGACTATGGTGTCCTCAGATATAACAGATAATACACTAGTGGACCACACTTTGCCTATTTGATTTCTCATACTGATGGTCAACAGTTGAGTTGTAGCTACAGGAAGCTATGAGAACTGAGTTCCCTCAATTATTATATTACATATGTATATATATATGATGAAACTGAAAGCATATTATACACATATTATAATATATTCTTTCACTTTCAACATAAACTTAGGCTATTGTTACATTTCTTACACTTGGACTGTAGCTAATAGGTCTAGTGCCTGTTGGAAAAGAGAAAAAAACCAGTCAGAATTTTTCATCTTGCCCTTGTACGCTCCCCAATGATTTATTTCTGGTTATGGAACTGGCCAACAATAATCGTATTTGCAAAGTCTTTGTTTAATGGTTTTAAAGCACCCTCAAATAAGCTGTGACAAATGAATCTACAAAGAAGAATCATTACATTCCTAACCCACAAACATTAACTAGATTATATTTGTAAGTTTATACTGAATATGCCGAGTCCTGTCCCTTACCTAGCCAAACATATGGGTACAATGAAAAAAGGGGCTTAGTTTCTGCAGGATATAGGTTTTTTTTTCATTTGTTTTTACTTTAAACACTGGAAGAAATCCTGTATTTTTCGGTAAACTTATCACTTTAGGATCCGTTTTATTTATACGTACTCATTATTCTGTTTCAACAGAAGCTCTAAAGTCGGAAGAGCGTCTTCTAAGGGTTTCATATCTCCAACTACGGGCATTTGTCTCCTCTTGGCTCTCTCTTTTAATTCCTGTTTCCTTTTCACCACTGCATTAATCTCTGAAATTGTAAATTTTTTGAATTAATATATATAAATCAAAATAAGAAATAGACAACAGTGTCTTGTATAAAGTATTCTTTATCTTATATTCTCTACATGAAGTTTTAGACACTAAGGAACTGATATTTTATATGAAGCCATCCGTGATTAAAAGGAAGTATATGATATTAATGGTTCTAAAGATGCTGCCAAAGTCGTAAACATTCTTCTATTAACCTCAATTACAGTAGAGTCCCGTACAACACGCAGATAAAGCAAGCGATGCCCTCAAATTTTGTTGATTAGAAATATACGGGCCAAGGTTTAAACTTTCATAAATCATGCGATAATGCAGGTTTCGATAACGTGATTTTCTATAACGTGTAACGAATCCCCGCGTTGTAAGGGACTACTATACGAGGACAATTATCATTAAAGTAAGACAAACTACCAAGTTATCAGACTAAAATATGGCTATGTAATTAATTAAATAATAAATAATTTGTATAGAAATAGGCAGTGTACCGTCTCATGCTAAACATTATTGCCGATAATTTTGGCTTTAAACAATAAATTGGGCTTTTGGGTTCATGTTCATATTGTAGAGATTGTAGAGATGATGGATTCCAGATCTTAACCACAATTTAAAACTCCTTATGAAAGGAACATTGCAGGAATAACATTTCTTGTTAGTCTTAGTTCAGACAATGATAAGAAATTGGTTTTTACACCCTGATAGCAGCAGGTTTTGACTATAGCTTTCTCTTTGGCCTTGTTTTGGGAATGGAAATTAATCTAATGCTTCCCTGTAGTGACAAATTACTTAGTAATTAATTAAATATAATTGCAAAAAAGTAGACTGATGTAATCTGGTGGTCATTTGGCGTAACAAAATGATTCATCCGATTAGTTCGTGGACACCTAAAATCTGGGAGTAACAGCGATAAAAACAATAGCTAAAGTTTCTCAGAAGTTTATTTAGACCACGTTCAAAGATGGTTGATTTTGGTACTTGCGACAAATTGTAAACTGTGGCTAAACATCCCCAAGCCAGATCTAACAGGGACCTCGTCTTTTCAATTGATCCAACACTGATAAGTAGCTGTAGGTCTGCGCCTCACCAGTCGGGTGGCCAGTGAAGGTTTACATGTTTTCTTCACTTACTAACACCTAAACAAGGCCCGGTTTCCCTATAGAAAGTCCACTCAGAAAACACCTCATCTTGCAGAATTCCCATATTACATTGCTTTATCACATTAATTCTACAATCTCCAAGAAGGTTACAAATATTTTGCATATTCCTTATATACTAAAAGTAAAACCATTTCTATCATTTGTGGGCCAGATTAATGTAAACTAAGGGCCTGAATTTGCCAGGAGCATAGCGGGCGTGTTTTTCTTTTACATTATTTCTTTACAGTTCTCAAGCAACAGTTGACAAAATGATACACAGCCATTGATTTTATAATGAGAGAAGACAATGATTTATAGTTTCGAAGATTGTTCAGACAAGCGCCGACGTAAATNCACACAAATAAGAGCCAGTTTCCCTCCTGAAGACATCCTCCTAGGCAGTTCTCCAAGTATTGCGTTGCCGTAAATCAAACAAACCATCTAAGCAAGTTCTTAACGAGTGGTGAGGGGCGTGCCCCGACATACCTAGACGATCACCCCCGAAAAATTCCTGGGTGTTTTCGATATCGGAGCGGTGGGCTGTCACCTTAATCGCCTAGCCGTTAAAATTAGCGTTAACTATATAATATTTGATTCATATATTTTTAAAATTTAAATAAAATTATTATTATTCGTTACCGATATTAAAAACATATATTTTTTCTAATTGAAAAAAATTTACGCGAAACAATTTTAGTGTTGCCAGGTGTATCGTTTGACACAGCTGGCAACACTTAAACAAATTCTTTCGCGTGTGTAAACACAGAAGCTTTGTTTACGGGTCCGTCGCGTTTCGCGTAATCGCGTTTGTATTTTGAATTTTTTTTTTAAATACGTGAAATTAGAAATGGAAAGCCCGGTCGAAACGGCTAAAGACGGCATCAAGAAGGTTTACGTTGCCATCGAAGATAATAAAGAGACAAAGGTATTTATATAAATGACAGGTTGTTGTTCTCGGCGCCGCCATCTTTGATGCTTGTTGCGCCACCGGTGTTAGTTTTGGCACTTTATTAAACCACGTGGTTTTACGGTGTTTTGATAAAAGATGAAATGCTTACTGTTCTTGAATAGGACTTTTTTTTTTCATTTGAAGCTTAATTTCCTTAATTTGAAGCTTTAGTTAAACACCCATTACAAGTAGGAATTTCATCTTACTTGCTTCAGGAGGTGAACGACAACACAATAATTGTGTTGTTTTGGGTAAGATTGTAGATGTGGATGACACTGTTGTGTCTTTAACAGAGATGTAGAGCAAATAAATAAAGAAACCGTACCTACATATGTGATCCTTTGTAAGGTATAGCCCGCAAAATCAGCCTGTGGCCTGCTTTCCGGCACTAGGGAGTCATGCCGCATGGTCCGCTAAGTCTGTTATGTGTTTAACAGGCAGTCCGACATAGTGGTTGGACATTTTAATAATAATTATCCATAAAGAAGAGTCCAATGTGCAACCTTTTGTGAGATATTTTCCTCTAGATGTGGAAATCCAATGGTGGCAGTTCTGGTTTGTATCGTGCTTGCTAGGTGTGGTAATTGGTGCCTATATCAAATAGTAAATGTATTAAATTCTACTGACCAAAAATAGCTTTTACCCCGAATCGATCTCCACATCGGTTGAGGTTAGTGACAGCTTTCCTCAACCGACACTCTGTGTGTAGTGCCTGCATTAGGCAAGCCGCCACATTCCCTAAAATGATAGACTGTCGAGTACTCTACAGTAAATGGGCTACTGAAAGCTGGCATAGTCACTTAGGCTGAATAGTTAATGAGGCTTGCATTGTTACTTCTGATTTTTGGAGGGTATATCTTATGAAAGATCACATATAGAGATATTGCTCCTGTAGGCATTCTCTACAGCTCTGTTAAGGTCCAAACACTGTCATTCGCATCTGCAATTGTATCTTGTTCTGCCTGTCTCATACAAAATAATGAAAAATAATGGTGTTTCAAATTATATTTGTTAGCCAGATTGCCATGCAGTAAGAAGTTCTCTTGCCATATCTCCCACAAAAGATGTGAGTTCAAATTTGATCTATTTAATGACATTTTTCAGTTAAGCCGGTGGCAGTGGCGAGTGATGGCAGTTGTTACTATGGAAACAATCCCACGTGACATCTCTAATGGCTTACCATGCCATCGAGCAGAATTTTGGCATGTAGAATATTTGTCATTGATGCTAAAATTTGCCACTTTTAATAGCCAATACAGTGTTAGTATATTTCTGATATCAGAGCAATACAATCTATTCCATGCTTGAAAATATGACAGTGTATCTATCCAATTGGCTTCTATTCATAGCCATAAATGTAGCATAAAATTTTATATCCGCCACTAAACATTTGCTGCCATCACTCATCGCTGACGCCGGAATAGCTTCATTGTTTGGAGACACGAGGTGCTTCTGAACTCTGTGAGTGGGGTCCTATGCGAATGCACAAGTCACAAAACCCAAAAGTCGGATCTGTAAATGAAAAATAGTGCGGGTATTGTCTGTATTGCAAAACGGAGCGGCTTAGAAAACTCGTACTTGTTTCTTCTTGACTTGTGATGATGGGCTTACAGTCCAAAAGCACTTTAAATATTTTAAATTGTACTGTAATAAAATATTACTGATCACGAGACGATAATCTCTTGATATTTTATTTGCAGACTCCGAAATCAAGCCCTTCTTCAACTTTATTTAGTAATGTCAACATTATGGATGACATATTAAATCAGAAATTACCGGATTTTGATGAAAACAGTGATGAATCTGACGGTAAGTAATAATTTTTCGTTATATGTTTGCTGGTTTTTTTAACTACATATATTTTGGGAAGAAAAACACTTAATTTTTTGAGCACACAGCTTATTTATTGTTAGAATATATTTTGTACAGTGTCTCCTATTGAGGAGGCATATTTAAAATATAAGGAACAAGAATTATTGATACTTTTAGAAGAAACGAGATGACAGCTTATTTCTATCTTATCCACAGACTCTTCGTGCAATTTAGATTCATAGTTTTTTTAGCAACACTCTACAGTCCAATTTAGATGCAAATGACATTAATATATGATCCTCTGGAGGTACACTTTCAAAATTAGTCATAATGTACTATTTGGAGGGTACTTCCAGAGATCAAAATCTCCATATAAATAAAAGATGAAAGGGGAAACAAGGAACAAGAATAAATTCTTCACATTCTTACATCCAATGTCATCCTCTGTTATTTAGTGTACCATTATAAATGTACGTACAAGTCGACCCCCCTATAACACTGTTGATTTTTCCGTTTTATATGAATTCCATGTTGTACGAGTCACTTAGATTTTACAAATACGTGTGCTGGGCTGTGAACTGCTCATGTATTTGTAAAATCTAAGTGACTCGTACATCATGGAATTCATATAAAACGGAAAAATCAACAGTGTTATACGGGGGTCGACTTGTATTACTAAAGATTTCTCTTGTGAATCATAAATACTGCTTAATAAAATCAAGCAGTTACATATTCCTGATAATATCTCTGAAATATTAACATAGATCACCTATCGCCCATTGCAGGCCTGGCCAAATGCAGGAAGGGCATTTCTTAATGTCCACAAGGCAAAGTTAACTGATCATTGACTTACTGAAAGTAAAGTGAATTGTAATTGGTTAATTTCTAAGTCTAAAAGTCAGTTTATAGTCCGACAACAGCATGGTACTGCAACGGTGGAGTTTCATTACATCTGTTACGCTCAGCTCTGCTGAATGTTGATCTGTAGTTACACACTTCTTGTCTAGTGACACAATTACAATATTAGCCACTGGCGAAAGTTTGAATGTAAACAGAATGGTGTTTTTGTCAACTGCAGCAATATACTATTAACATCGAAACTCCATGCTACTGTTAGACTATAGACTGGTCTTAATTCTTGATCCTGTGTGAGAATTATTTATTTGTTTATTATATTTTCTTTCACTACATAACTCGATAATGCCTCATTTAAGTAATGTAACATCACTAAAACAATACCTTTATTTTATTAGAAAACGATTCTTTCAAGGAAGATGGTCTTATCATGAGAAGGAAGAAGGTTAAGAAGCGATATAATACTTTTAATATGAGGAGTTTGGAAAGCGTTTTGCCCAAGTCTAGTTACGTGCAGACGACGATAAAGGATGAAAGTAATTTACTCAAAGTATTTTCTCTGTATATTTTTATTTTTAATACACTTCCTGTTGTCTTCGTTTCCATGCCCTTTAATTTGCTGTAAATTAAATTCTTTGCTTTCAGATAGAGTAATTTGTACCAGTTGCGTACGTAAGTGAGCCATTGATATCTCGGTGATATCGGAATGAAGCGATCGTTGCAGCGAATTCTGGAATGTGTTCGGAGAATTACTGCAATGATTACTTTATTTCTTAGACATTCTAAGTCATTGTACATACTGTATATACATACTAGCAGTAATACCAACAATATAATAATTTTATTATTATATATTGCCCGTGCATTGGTGTCCATGTTAAAAGACCACAGATTATTAACTTCTAGAGCCCATTACAAACAAAATTGAGCTTATATTAGTGTACAAAATGTTAATTTCTTCTAGTTCATAGTTTCTAGATACAATTACACGTGTGGGCTACAAGTGAGATAATCTTTAACTGTGTAATTTATATATTTGACATGCTTCGTTTCAGGTTAAACGGAGAAGAGGTCGACCGAATTACGGAACGAAGGCTCGGTAGACAGAATCGACGAGAACAAATTCGAACGATAAGTTTTGTTTTCTTGACGAACACGGTCTTACTTGGGATGCAAAAACAAATGTATTTTGTTTAGGGAGACTGTTTTGTATTCTTAATGACACGTATTAGGCAATAAAATAGTCTTAAAACACTTAAAAATGACTCGTTTCTTTGATCATTAAAGCGTCCTATTGAAATATACAGAGCGTATGTAAAGTTCCCAAGCTCAAACTTTGAAAAATTATCACGAGTAAACGGGTGGAAGCAGTTTTGTTTGTCAGTAACAAAAACAATTTGTATTAGTATCACGGTGAGAGTAGGCTATAGTATTGCTTAAGTCTCCTACAAGAAGAAAGTGTGGCTGTTGGATTTATAGTTTGGCTACAAGTATGTTGTATGTTGTGTGTGCCAAGTAGAGGAGGCAGTTTCCAGTTTTTCCTGGACCCAAAAAGATGCTACAGCTTTTGGCGGAACTGTTCAACATGCCATATCACCAGAGAAAAGTGATTATCAGAGTTCTTCGGAGACCTCATTCCTACTGCCATGAAGATCTTCAGACTTGACATTTCCTGATTTTATTCTTGAATAGAGTGTACGGAAATAATCCACATACCACAGAAGAACTGAAATATACTAAAAATTAATATTGCACCCACCTAATTTCCACCATTATTCAATTAATACCCTCATCTCTGCGCTCAATTATTTAAGATGAGTATGAAAGATGTATAATTTAGGAATTGACATCGTAAAGAATTGGGTTAATGGAGAATAGGACATTTATATGTTAATTTTCTATTATTTACATTAAAAAATACTGGTTTTTCACCGTGTAAAAAAAACCATAAACAACACGGTTAAATAGATTTAATGGTATTGAACCGTGGCATCCATTTAAAGATTTAAGTAACCGTTACAATCTAATCAGCTATTAACCTAGTAAAAATACTTATCTGTTTGATGATAAGATTGCAATACTTTGTCGAAAGTTTCCCAAGTGATTCAGCAGTTTGTTTCCCTGTTTTTGTGTTTTTATTATTGATTTATCGTGTTGCAAAGTTTCCTTTCGTTAAATTCCACATTTTAAATACATACTTTTTGATGTTGGTGATTATTTGTTTGAAGTCCTTCACGAGTTTCATCATTTTAAATACAATTTATGGTTAATTAAACCATTTTTAACTGGTTTATACACTTTTAAATACAAGAATCCCGAAATTCTCTTAACTTGATGGTAATTAATCCATCTTGTGATGTCCTCCACGTGTTTTGTCAACGTCCTTTTAAGGATATAAATCCTAAAATTATATTCCCAATAATAATTGGAATTACTCTGTCAAACCTGTGAACAACGTGCCAGTGAAGGGAAAATAAAAAATGGCTGCTGTTTAGAGGTTATTAGAGGTTCCACTGTATATTTTGAGATTCACTTAGGAAATTTTATACATTTTCTTATAAAATGTTACCCATTGTCATTATGGTTCACATAAAATAATTCAACCATTCTGTGCAGATTCAAATCATAATAATGTAATTGTTTTTGTTTATAAACGGTTCTTGTTATAATTAGCCCATTATGCCATAAGAAACGATGCTTCCTTGAGTCAAAGGGGCATTGTTACTTATGGTACAATGGGGTCTTTCAGTTGTTGGGTAATCAGTACACTTACGCTTTGAAAATCATTAAATGTGTGAATTGTTATAAGTAGAAGGGTGAGTGTAAAATTTATTATTATGGTCCTACCTTACGGGCCAAATTGAAAATTTAATGAACTGTTTCATGTTGCGTGCGTGGGAAAGAATCGAAAAATATATATAGAGATTTAAGACAAATTAAATAATTTTTATTTCAAAAACATCTACTCGAGAAACTGTACAATATCTCTACAAAAACCAGGCTTCTGCCAATATACACGCGCTAGTTTGGAGTTACTAGGTGAATCAGTGGTGACCACCATAACCTCCGTGTCCGCCGTAACCTCCTCCGCCTCCTTTGCCACCGCCTCCGTGACCTCCGTATCCTCCTCCGTGGCCACCATAACCTCCTCCGCCTCCTTTACCACCACCTCCGTGACCTCCGTATCCTCCTCCGTGGCCACCATAACCTCCTCCGCCTCCTTTACCACCGCCTCCGTGACCGCCGTATCCTCCTCCGTGGCCACCATAACCTCCTCCGCCTCCTTTGCCACCGCCTCCGTGGCCACCGTAACCTCCTCCGCCTCCTTTACCACCTCCTCCGCCTCCGTGACCTCCGTGGCCGCCATAACCTCCTCCACCTCCTTTGCCATAGCCGCCTCCGTGGCCGCCATAACCTCCTCCGCCTCCTTTACCACCACCACCGCCTCCGTGGCCACCGTAACCTCCTTTTCCACCCCCACCGCCTCCGTGGCCACCGTAACCTCCTTTTCCACCCCCACCGCCTCCGTGGCCACCGTAACCTCCTTTTCCACCCCCACCGCCTCCGTGGCCACCGTAACCTCCTTTTCCACCCCCACCGCCTCCGTGACCTCCGTAACCTCCTCCATGTCCGCCTCCACCACCCTTGCCACCTCCACCTCCGTGACCTCCGTAACCTCCTCCATGACCTCCACCACCTTTACCGTGCCATCCAGATACCGTCAAAGGAATGACCAGGTAGACGATCAGCAACGACACGAAAAACACAGCAAATCTCTGTAAATGAAAGCAAGCCTATTACAAAACACCTAACACACTCAAAAACATGTTATCACTTACCATGTTGATGCTTCGCGATGTTATGTAGACCCTTCTTGTCCTAATGTATATATATACTCTCCACAATCATCACACGTCATCGTCGGTATCAGGTGGAGAAAACAATATAATCATTCCCCCGCCTACACCGGCACTTAACTCAGTCACAAAGTATTTTACAATCGAAAAACAAGAGCATTAACTATTCGATAACCTCTTTAACACGTTAATATATCAATTGGACGGGTGATACGAATATGTTTTATTATATTTTACAAAATGGCCACCGCATACAGAGAGACCAGAGCTTGGTACACAATGGGTGAATGCCTTATTCTAAAACAGTAGCACCTTAATTCTATAAGGGGTTAACGACCCCGCGCGTATAATACAACGGATTACAATGTGAATTACGGTGCAAAAATGTCTTCTTATTATGTCCCACAGAAAATAAACGTCACACATGATTGAAGTGATGTGCTTGTCCTGTTAATAAAGGAGGAATGTCATTTCTTCCCCTGCAAAAACTTGTCTAATTTGTAAACAAAATAACACATTCTGATAACATTTATCTTACTGTTTACTGTTATTGTGTTCGTTGTGTTCATCGTGTGTGAAATTCGCCATGCTGAAAGCAGTGTTTAATCTATTATTATTATTATTATTATAGAACATTTGCTAATAGTGTTGATAATATTACTACACAATAGTTTATTGTTAACTCTAGAGTAATATATTATTATATTGTCCTCTCTGATGGGTTAGCATGCTTAAATGTTAAATCTAATGTTATAAAGTGTGCATAAAATATAATCAAAGTAACACTTTTAATACACTAGAAGCGTATTTACTTATGTTAATATCTTAAACACTAGAAGTGCACTTTTATTATTAATACCTAACAACTAGAAGCACGTGTATTTATGCTAATATGTTAAACACTAGAAGCACACTTCTACAGATACTGCAACATACTAAATAATGTACACCTATAACACTGTTGATTATTCCGTTTTATATGAATTCCATGTTGTACGAGTCATTTAGATTTTACAAATATGTGAGCCATTCATAGCCGTGCACTCGTATTTGTAAAATCTAAGTGACTCGTACAACATGGAATTCATACAAAACGGAATAATCAACAGTGTTATAGGGGGATCGACTGTATTGTACTGTACACTATAGAGAATACCACACCTTAAAATACACACACTAAACATCGCAGTGTGTAGTAAAACAATTGGCTTATACACTAAAATCTAATAATTCAAGTGTTGAGCTACTAATACTTGATGTAGTGTTCTGTATTATCTGTAGTAGGCCTAATGTTACTCTAAACGTGTTTACTCGATGCAAACTTTTCATAATGGAATCCATAATGTTTATTAAACACTCATAGGAATGAACAGAGTTTATTACAATACAAAAATAAGCTATTATATAGGATAATATAAAACAATACACTCTTTTCTATTGTATGATATCAATACAAATACTGCATCACACGCTTCATGGGGGGAAAAATATGGAATAAATTCAGTTTCGAGTGAGACATTAACGTATCATTTCCTCATTTACCAAGTTTAGATTTCTATTTTAAGCAGACTTTTTTTGTGCGTTCGTCTGTCTGAACGGGAAAAACTTTTGCGAAACTAATTACATTTAAGAAAGAAAAACCGTTAATGGATTTTCGGTAATAAACTTTGAACTGTCATGCGTGACTACCAATAATACAAATTCACTTTTTTCAACCCGAATTACGGCTGGGAAGTATTAAGAATTTCACAAAATTAACAGTATTTATCACGGTTTTTTCGATTATTTAACAGTATAGCGTGATATAAAAGTGGAACACCGAAAAAAGTCGTTGTTGTAGATGACTCATCTAAGAATAGGCCTCATAAATAAGTGATGACTTCTGTTGCTTGGCATCTTAAAAAAAAAGTATTAATACATATTTTTATTATCGAAAACAATGCATTTACAATACACAAAACGTCTAGTGTCTGGCTGAATCACGTTACGTAATCTACAACTTGAGGACAAGAGGACACGAGAATTATCTAATACAATGGACATTTAAACGTATAAAAATGATTCTACGGTGTTATTTATGATTCATGTTAAAGGAATTATTAATTTGTTTTCGGAATCAGCGATGCTTATGGTCGTTTGTCTCACTTTTTTCTTTAGGTATTTCTCTATCTTCGTTTACTTTCCCCTTGTCTTTTTTTTTTTTACTTTCATGTTTCTAGACTTCCGCAATTTGTTTTCCCTTTTTTTTCTGTGTAACAATTGTGGATATAGAAGTATAGATGATCGTTGACACGTAAGAAACTCATAAAGTATCCCAGACGTCGTATTACGTATTGACAGACTGTTGACCCCATTAGCCACGTGTTGATTTTCTTGTGTTAATTATAAATTAATGTCTTTTTTGAAACTCTCCACCCTGTGGACAGTAACACGGCCTCTTTTTAGCAAGCCCATTAAGGTTTCGGCCAGGCCCACAATTGGGCTGTGCTTCAAATAATGATATCATCACCTCAATCTACGTTTTACTTATTTAACTTTCTGCACCCCGGCCACTATAAGGCCCCTTATTCTATACGCATTGTTTCACTTCTATAATATAATAAATTGTGTCAGTTCGTCCATCCTTCCTTAATCTCGAGAAGGGAGTTATATACAGTAGACCCCCTATAACACTGTAGATAATTCCGTTTTATATGAATTACATGTTGTACGAGTCACTTAGATTTTACAAATACGTGTGCCAGGCTGTGAATGGCTCACGTATTTGTAAAATCTAAGTGACTCGTACAAAATCAACACCAGGTATTACGGGGAGGAAGCCACCATTAACAATTTAGGAATGTCTGATGCAAACAGGAAGTCATGTTATTTCAGTTCAGATGCTTTCCAAGATAGGAAAGTATTTGAACTGAAATATTTCTTTCTTCCTATGGGCACCAAAAGGGCCTTTTTCTTTACTCATTATGGATTCGGTCTTGCCTACAATGAGGAGGACGATGGGCAGGGCCACGCGTAGGATAAACAAATTGCAGCTATAAACAACATCATATTTTTTATATGCCATTATTTGATGGAGTAAGAAACTCTTATATGTTATGGGAATAAGAGCGTGCAACACTTGGTCCTTCTGTTAAGAAGAGAGATGCCACCGGAGAGAATTTTCTACAGGATTCTGGCTCCTATTTAGATGTTAACGTTTCCATCAGTGGCCGTTTGTCATATGTTTTCCAGTTTTCATTTACGTACATGGATACACCACCCTTGTTACCTCCTGGCATACATACCACACGCAAATACCACACACAAATACTACACACATAACACACGCAGTTCCAGTGGCTACCCAATCTTTACATTTTCTCTGAAGTTTCCTGAAATGATCCATGGTTTCCGTTGAAAACCGTTCATACAAAACGTGTAATATCTTCTAGATAAAGAAAGAACATACGTAAGCGGAATTTTTGCACTGTACATAAACAGTGGCCTCTCGATATATTGAACTCTCAAAGGAATAAAATAAATCATTCACTCTATCCGGTTCACTTTACATATGTACTTGTATGTATATTATGTTTGCATGTAGCACATAGCAGTCAAAAACCATACTCAGGACTACCCGGAGGGTAACGGTGCCTGGAACAAAATACATATTGGGCCCTATAACATATTTTTTGTTAGATTAACCTCCTTAATTTACACTTAACTAGTGTTACAGCTTTAATTTAATGATATGCCAATATTAAATTTAGTAACAAGAAGATCTGTGCTATTTGTAGAAGGTTGGCAAATACTTGGCTGATGTCACCTACCGATTCGTGATACCTGATAATAATGCTCTTAATGAAGATACTTTAATTATGCTACCCGTTTAATTAATTAAGGAGGTGATACACGCCTTGTAATTGGGCCAAATTATCGATTTCTGCTTAATTTTTAGTAATGGCTGCCAGAGATGCCATGTTCCATTTAGCTTAAATCTAGTGCACAGGCACCGAAATATACAGTAATAAAATGTCGCCTCATTGTTAGAGCAGCGCCATCTACTAACTGATAAGTTTACTACGATGTTACGTGGTAAATACTGAATTTACAGCATAATTTTTCAATTATTGGATAAATTTAACAAGGAATTCATGTTAAAATTAATGTGAAAACAATACATATAATTCAATTTTTTTTAAGTACAGTCGACCCCCCTAAAACACTGTTGATAATTCCGTTTTATATGAATTCCATGTTGTACGAGTCACTTAGATTTTACAAATACGTGAGCCGTTCCCATTGGATCACGTCCCAAATGAATTTTGGCTATTTTCTATGCTGAAAATTAATTTCAAGATGACTTTTTTCAACAATGGAGAACATCAAATCGAATGTGATGGCCGAACTCCTGAATATTTCAAAACAAGCCCCTTCCAACAATGGAAGGATTGATGGGATAAGTGGGTGTTGAAGGGCCTACTTTCAAAGGTGATTTAGGTAAATGTTTCTGCATGTCCCACCATTACAGAACTATATTATAATTCTTTCGTACCCTGTTATTAGCAAGTGGCGCAATAAGCGCCTTTATCTGTTTTTAATTAAAACTTAGTAAATTTATTTTTAATTAATTCTGTTTATTTTTGAGTATTTTGCGCGGAGAAATGATTGCCCATTCCACTTAACAGTTCAACTAACGTAGAATTTACCGCTAGGTGGAAACAAATCGACCTCTACGGCGCAACGAGCGTCTAATTCCAGCAAGCGGCGCAACGATCATCAAATCACGACGATACACGGATCGATTTTCAGGAAATTATCGAAACACATTTTACGAATTTAAATCATAAATAAATTATTTACGAAATAAAATAACATGGAAAGAATTTCAATTTATAAATAATAAAAATAATAATAATAAAATTTATTTTATTAATTTTCTTCACGCGCGAGGGTTCGACTTTCCGACGAGAGGGGGAGCCACCAAAACAAAATGGCGGTTATCAAAATAAAATAGTAAAATGTCGTTTGGTTTTATGTTTGATGTTTAAAAGAAGTTTATGTTAAAGTTTACGTTAAAAAAAGTATAAATGTATTTAAAATTATTAACGGTAAGTCGTTTTTTCTCCTATTTAACGCCAATTAACGCGACGTTTCTACGACGTAATGGCCAGACGACATCGTCTGGACGGGAGATGTTCTTAGCGATGTTTACACTCCGATTAAGTGGGCAAATTACGATCAAATTCGCGGGTTTAATGGTTTAAAACGCGTTCAGATCGAGTAATGTATGAAAATACGGTACTTAATTGCGGATCGGCATTACTTTTAATGCAATTATGAGTGTTATAATACAATTACGGGTGTTAGATAAGAATAAATGGCCCGTTTAAAGGTCTGTTTCGCTACCAGCGACTTTGACAAGCCGCTAGACCGTGGACGTGCATTATACACCTTCCTCTTGTTTGTGTCCTTAAACCTGAATAAAATGCCGCCCTCTTATTTATATATTGCCGCCTTACGGCTCCAGATTTGTTGGTGGCGGTCGGTCCGTCCCTCTGGTGGTGCCGGCGGAAGAGCCTCAATTCCGGCGGCTCGCCTTCCACAGGCATCGGAAAGAGTACCTCTCGGTGCGGGGGGGTGCGACTTTTTCGAACGGTACGTAAAACATGCGGACCGGCACCCGCGAGTGCGAAGGGGGGTTCCCGTCGGCATTCTGACTGTCCGAAGGGCCCGTCGCTGCTACTTGCGCGGAAAGAGTGTGTGATTTGAAAACTTAGCGTCGTGCTTTGTGTTTAAGTAAATCTATCTGTCATATAGTGATTTGACGTGATTAGAATGTGAATAGAATACATGCTAGGTGATTTATTGTATCCAGAATCCTTGCTGGTGTCTTCGGGTCGATGTTGATAGATTTACTTTAACATTCGGAATAAGTGCTCAGTGGTAATAGGTGGAAAACTGTTGCCGTCGGGAACGGGGCCATTGAGAGTTTTAGAGTGTTGCGTCATGCTTGGAATGGTGCTGGCTCTATTAAACCTTCGGGAGGAGCCCGAAGGTTTAATAGAGCCAGCACCTCTTCGGGATCTTGAGGATTTTATTTCCTGATAGTAAAAATAACAACATATTAGGGTAGGAACTGCTATGGACCCCTAAGTTTTCCTTAGCCCATGAAAAATTCTTCAGCTCTTCTCACGTCCCATACTATACATCAAATTTAGACTTTCTGACAATTTGTTGTTATGACACACTTCACGTATTTTCTAAATCATAGTGTTCTTGCCCTTCGTATTACACTGCAACAATCGATAATAGATCAGGGTGTCGTTCTTCATTTCTCATACCTGCTTGCCACTTCCGTCACTAGCCAAACTTATCCATAACAGGCTCAAGAATAAGACAGATGGAGCATTGATAAAAATTTTGTATTGTTGTTTTGAGGAATATGTGGCAGTAATTTTTGTTCTAAATGCACGAATCTCTAATTAATGAGTGCAATCGAAACCCTCGTTCAGTTCAATGTACCAGTTTCTTTGTTTACCGAATGACTCAAACAATTGAAAACACAGTCAATTCCTATTAGAAGGAAGCCAGTGTCAGACTGGAAATTTAAGTGACGTTCCTGATGTAATTACCGATTTCTGTACTTATTCTGCTCTATTTTTAATTTATAAAATATATAAATGATCAAAAACACAATTGTATAAGCATAAAACTTGATTTATTCATTTGGCTGATCTTGCAAAGACTTGGTTTTTTTATTTTTTTTGGCTGTGAATGTTTGCATTGTCAACTTATAATGGGGGATTGTTGAAGAGGATTTACCTGTAACTACAAAAAAAAATAACTAAATTGAGCATAAAATAAAAATGTAAACAAGTATATTTACAAGCGTCATTCCGTATATTAATGTGAAACATAATACGAATGATTTATTTACGTATATTATATCAAATAATTGATATTTTAAGTTGTAATATGACAAATTAGGAAACACTATATTATACACGGCAAATAAAATGCCCGTATACTAATTTAAAATCCATTAAATAATTGGGATGTTACATAAGAAGAATTATCTTTATTTATGTTTTGAGTCTTGATTAGTAATCTTCTGTTTACATTAGCTCAGAGTACAAAACAATTATTGTCAATAATATGAAGTGAATAAGGTCAAAATTAAAATTTTGTGCCACGTTGTTTGCATAATAACAAATTTTTTGTAAAATCTTTGTAAAATATCTATAATATACATACATTATTGCGCTTAAACAAGTTTCGAAAACAGTTGACGTAACCTAAATAGCAAAAAATGGAAAATAATAGCTGTCGTATGCAGTCTTTTGTGCGTATCCGCGTATAAAAAGAGTGTATTTTGTTATATTCAATAAGGAAATAGTTTGTTAATCTGTCGTCCGATCTATATACAATACAAAAGTTATAAAATAGTAATTGTTATGCATTTTGGTATTACTGTAGTGCATAAAAGCCGATTAGAGTAGTAGTTGACTCCTAATTATTTTTCTTTTTAGTCATCGCGATACACGTTTGTTGCATAAATATGGTATTCTCTGGTTAAATGGCGTAACTAATTTCTTTGTATTTGCTTCGTTTTTGGAACAAAACTGAATTAACTAGAATTAATATTTTTTGGATGTAATAATATGTTATCAATAATAAATGTATTGATGTGGCATTGTTTAGGATATAGGAAATTTTGAAGCTCTACATTAGTAGGAATTGTAGGATTTTGAAGGTCAATACGAGCAATTACTTATTGTGACATAGACACAATGCCAGGCTGCAATTTCTAATCATATTTTTAATTAATTTAATCATATTAATTTATTAATCTAAAATATATGCTTTCCATCTCAAATTAGTAGTGGTTTGCCCCTGTACATCATACTGGTCGTATATCTAACGCTTTCGGGGGAATTTTTGAATTGAAATAACGTAACTTCCACTTTGCATTGGAAGTTCGTGTTTTAGTTAGTCAGGACCTCCTGCCTGTAAGATTTCCATATCTTATCTCAACTTTCATTAGTCTAACTGCGTTCTCGAGATTAAGGAAAGACGGACGGACAACAGTGGAAATTTATAGGTCTACAACTTTTTTCAAACTGCAGCCCGATTAGAAGGAATTTGAGAATTAGTAGAATGTTGAGGCTCTGCATTAGTAGGATTTTGAGGCTCAGTATTAACAATATTTGAGGATTTCAAAATTTCATATTGGAAATTTGAGACTCAGGATTAGTTGGATTCCTGAGGCTTGATGTTAATAGAAAGTTTACTCTTTACCAGTTTAAGTGCATCATTCGATTTTCTTGTTACCTGTCATTAACGATCGAGATACGAGGAGTCGTAGCTTTTCCTTATCTGGATCATTAGCTCACAAATTCATTAAACTTTCTTATGTTAATTTAAAAAGAATATTTTCAGATTATAGTTAATTAAAAAACTATCCAAGATATGTTTTATTTTTTATTGAAGTCGTACTGTTTATATAAATATTGTTTAAACATGTTATTTGCCACTTATTACAATTCAGTTTCTTTTAATGTTAATTAAGCATGAAAATTCCTATTAAATGAGATTGGTCGGTGATATTTAGAATGAAAAGTAATTTAAAAATGCAGATGACTGTTCAAAACTAAGAATTTCCTGCTTTGGTTTATTGTGTGTGGATCTCATGACCTAATGTTGAGTATTTAAATTTCTAGACGAAATGTTAAACCAATGGAATTCAAAACAAAAAAAAAATCAAACGTTCACATTTATTTGGGAGTAAAGATCAAATTTCTCTGATCTGTTTTTGATTTTGTAAGACATCCTCCTCTTGCTTCTCCTTTTTCTTAGATCCTTCTCGCTTCTCCCTTTTCTTAGATCCTCCTTTCCTTTTGCTTCTTCCCTCTTATATAAGTTTCGATTGTCATTATCTGTAAGAAAATACAACATTGACGGAATGAATATTTTAATTATATTTCACAAAAAGACTATCGTACCATATTAAACGCCATTTACTTATCTTACAGCAGCAGATATCGATAACGAAATATGATTTTGTGACTGAAATAACTTGAATTACGTCACTAACATTGTTATAAAAATAAAAATCTGTGTATATAATGCCAAATTTAATTACACTTCGTTACATAATATCAATTTACAATGATTTTATTTGCTATTTAATTACTCAAACATTAAAGATCTATAATTTAATTACAATATATTAAAATTTGTGCAATAATTTCCAGAGTTTTTTCAATATTTAAGTCATTAGTAATTAAATTAGAGTATTAATTCAATACCATGCTTTGCTGATGCGTGTTTTTAAAGATAAAATATTTATTATTTATAATAACATTATTAAATATTGATACAATTGCTTTGTACATTTAGTTATATTGATGCACAGATTTGTTGTTAAAGCGTAATATTATGAGTACATTCACCTCCATTAACGTATGAAGTTGCGTTATATTTTCTGCGACAGCCGAGATTTGCAGTTAAAATCCGCTGCTTGTTGCTTGTATTTTTATCTAGTGACATAACTAATCGAGAAGACTTTACTTTATAAAATGCCATATCTACAATTAAGTAAAATACGTCCTGACTCAGTTTCTTTAGCGTTATCGTATGGTATGGAACGATGTTTGCTAGTTACTCTATATTAGTAGTGGTTTAGCTTCATTACAGAAATTAACATGGCTATTTAAACCCTTTAAAGTTATAAATTGATGATGGTAAATCCTGTACTTTATACATCAGTAGCAGTTTCTTTTAAGTATTATTAAATTAAGTGTAAATCATTTGGGATACTTTGTTTCAATTTGTTTCATCTTCAGAAGTGTTTTAGTGCTTGTAGATGTAGTATTTTCAGGATTTCTGTTTGACCTTTGCAACTACTGTACCAATAACAGGTTCTAAGGTGTTACCGTAGTATATTCAATTGTCATTGCCTTCTCTGCTATGGCTTCACACACTTCCTTTTTCCTTGGATGTAGAATTGGGTTTTGTAAGACTATCAGTTTAGAATCAAGTGATTCTTTAAGACATTCTTGAGAGGGTGGATGCTGTGAGCAGAGAGAAAGGAATTGCCTTAGTACATACCCATTTAGTGATGTTACAGTGATGAATCAAACAGAATTTAGAGCAAAAGTAATGAAAGGCAAGACATTTTTACGGTATGAGTAACATCTATGAAGTGAGCTGCTTGTTATTAGATGATGATACTGTATATTTTATAATTATTAGTAGTTTTTCATGAAAGAAAGTAATGTTGCATCTTCCACAGTAAAAGAAATGGGCATAGGTGATAGTACTGTCCTAGCCCACCGGTGGTCACGTAGATAAACCCACTGAGTGGTAGTTGATCCCACAATCAACTACTACTCAGGTTTGTGCCTTGCCAAATGGCTAGCCACATGGAGTTTTCCAGGTTTCCTTCACATTAATATCTAAATAGGTGCCAGATTCCCATAAAAGACCAACCGAGAAGCATCCTTATTTGAGGATCGCCCACATGTTTCATTGCTGTATACAAATAAACCAGAGAACGCCCTCCTCAAAAAACAGACTATGTTAATGAATGAAGTACCAGGAGGTTTCAATAGCCAGACACATACAGACACATTTGATGCAGGCAGAAATGTTGCCTCTTTGAGAATCCAAGGCAAATTTCCTTTGCATTCATTCACCCAATTGCCTAATGTGCAGATGTTCTTACTGTACAATGCAGGTATATTTTTTTGTTGGTCATCTATTCGAGTATGCATTTACCTTTAATCTTTCTTATACCACTTCTGTGTCACAGTAATGAAGAGTGCGGATCAAATAAGATTTGATCGAGTACCGAGGTGTTATTTTGAATGATATCGAGTGAGAAAATACAATTATATTTCATTACTGGAGTAAACTGCCGCACATTAAATCCACATTAGTGCACACCTTATGCTGCTTAACTTTGATTTATTTAACATTTATGATGATTTTTTTCAAGTAAACGAAGACCATTTTTTCAATGAACACAGAGTATCTGGATCAATGAAGCGTGCATAATTACATTATAAGCAAGCATATTTTTAAAAAATTGCAACACTTTATCGAGCCAATTAATTAAACATTTTTTTTTCAGCCACCACAGCGTTACTAAAGGTCGACATCATTATAACTGTAACTGTATCCATTCGAATGGTTGCTATTATTTTTTCTGTTGTGTTAAATTCCTAACTGCCATTTCTGTGCGACAGTTCCAGGCTATTCGACAGAGCACACCCTCAATTTTGTACACATCTGTGCTAATTACGTGCAAGTTATAAGAAAACGCTGTTACTTTACTCAAGTTATAGTTACTAGAGCTCATAAGTTATGGCGAAGTTTACGTTAATTACAAATCAAACTAAACCGAAATCATTTGTTTATAAGTTGAGTGACGAAAGGTTATTTTAAGAACTTTCGCACTTCGAATACTCATTTTTGTCGGTAATTTTTGCTAAATTGGGTGGAACAAATGAAGATTTGGCAAGAAAATAAGGAAGTTTGTCATCACGGAATGAGATTTATATGATTTAGTTATACTTACATCACTTCCAGAGGCAAGACAGTTGAGTTAATCATCACTTCCCTCTATTAAGTACATCGAAACTTGAGAAAATACTGGATTTAATACTGTAAAATGTTATTTTTGGATACGAAAATACACCATTTGAGTTATTACTTTTATACATTTCATGTAAATCATAAATTTAATTTAGAAATATATAAAATTAAGGCAGTTTTTACTGTTATTTGGCTAGAAATATGGGATGATTCAACGTTAGTCACGACTGTAAACTGATTTAGAAAATATTTTATTCAAAAATTCCTCTTATAATTTAATCTGATACAATTTTATGATTCATTAATTTCAAAATTGGAATTCTTTAATGTTGATTTAATCGCTTTTTTTTAATTGATTTGGTGATTAAGTTTCTCATTTTTTTATTTTTAAAACCTAAATTGCTAGCTAATATAATTTTACGCACGTTAAATAATAAAGAAAATTTATTATTTAATTTGCATGCCATTATTTGCAACCGAAGCCATTTATTAGTGGCATTTAAATGCTAATTTTGAACTCGATTTGCTGTCAGAGTTAACGCATACAAAATTGTCAATACAAATTCGAAAAGATGCCGCATTTAAATGAGCGTGCATTCGAAAATTACTCTTGGAATGGGAAATGGCTTATGTAAAATTTTATTGACGACGTCAGAAGCCAAAGAGGAAAATTAAATTACATGCAGACACTGGACGGATTTTTGAGGTACTGAGTTTTTAAATCTCCCCGTAGCTAAGCATTAAGTGGAACTGCTATTATGATCGTACTAGTGTATTGTAAACACACCGACTTAACCACACTGTGAGCTTACTAACTCGGTAATTACATTAATACCTACTGAATCACTAACCACACTATTGTGGGTGTGTTGCACTGGATCAATTAGTTGCATTTAAAATGCAGTAATTCAGTGTTAAATTTGCAGTTGTGCTGCCTCAGTAGTCATATTTTTAGTTGGTTATTCACTAGTAACACTAACTTTCACTAATTGGTTACATTTATACACACATACTCCATTAATACTTGAACTTTTTATAAACTTATAAACATGCTCCTTATATTTACGGTGCCGCAAGCATCGACAAAGCGGTTTCATTCGTGGAAACATTTAAAAAGGGTGGTCCATCGAAGACACGTTACAAATTTGGCTGCATAGAAGACATTGCAGGCGACAAGAGTCGGAGGAATCGAGCTATTAATATTCCAGTTTTATACCATAAGAATGGGGGTGCAGTATCCACTTTGTTCATTGCATTATGCTTGACAAGAATTGTAATAGTCGAGCCAGCAACCTTCCAGTTTTAAACCATAAGAATGGGGTCCACGTCGAACAGTGCCACCGAGTTTAACTCATTGTAGAGTACAAGTATCTTGTACAAATAAAATGCTTGTTGCTCGCAGTGCCAAATCTGTCGCAGCCACGAGTTTGGGTACTAAAGTTTTTACGGCAAGGTCTTTCCCCGGTCGGTGCCAGATTCGGACTGGCAAATATCCCTCTAAATGGCTTCAAATAAGGGTTTAATTACCACCGTCCTATATTTATGTTAAAAACAATGCTTTTATCATAGATTACTGGGAAGGAAATTATTTAAATGATGATAATTAATGTAAGGACAATTAAAATGCTGATGTTACTGCAATCGACTTAACGTGCAAAATTCTATTCTAGGAACCGAAAGAATTTAATTTCTTCCAAAGCAAATGTACAGAAATTTCATTAAAATATTCGAAATCCCTAAACGCATTTCGCAATATTTACGAAACGTAACGTCGTTACTCTCCTCCGTACGTGTACAGAATGCGCGAGTAAATATTTATAACGTAATTGTTCTACTACCTAGAGGGGTGGCAATTTGCCAAATCTCCCGAACTCCTCCCCCCTCTGCCGTTAACCAAGCAGTGTCCACAAGTAAGGCCAGGAACACACATGCGTAAAATTGTGTGGCAGAAAACTGAATCAGAAATCAGCTTTCAGTTCAGTTTCTGTTTTACGCTTTCATGCCAGAAAGGTGTTTTGCGTTAAAACCCACGTGCTTCGGCTCTTTCGAATTGGCGTGTATCTTAACGCTTGCCCCGATTCCCATGCAAATTTTTGCATCGTCTACTCGATTCCTCTTGTTTTTTACGGATATTTTTGCATCCTATTTTCGCGGAATCGCATATATATATATAACAGATGGAAAGTATGGCGATGGGTCAAAAAAGGACCCCAAAAATTTGGGGAATTTTCTCTAAGTATGGTTGTGTGGGGGGCTCGTTTTTGTTCACCCACTTCGAAGCTTATTAACTCCCGTGTTTTTTGTCGAATCTTTCTGAAATTTCGTGTGGATATTACCGTATTAGGAGGATACGTAGTATTAAATTCGGTGGTTAAAGGTCGTGGGGCCACCCCCACGACCTTTAACCATCGAATTTAATACTACGTAGATAGAGGTACGGAGATAGAGGGGGGCCACGTGCCGTATAAGTGTTTTTGCCGGGAAAGTTACGCAACTCGTTTCGTTCTATTATTTTGTTTTTAAACCGTGTTTATTTGCGAATGCGTCAGTGGCCGCCTCGTACGTATTAATCATCCTCGCCTCATCTTCCTCTCCGGATGCTGCGACATTAAACTTAGAAATTTCATAATAGAATTCCGCTTTCTTCCAACTAAAAATGAGATTTTCAGCTCGGTTTTTTCCTTCTACGGACGGAAATAAATCACACTTCATTATATTTTCTTCTTGATTAATCAAATAGACAAACGAAACTGCTCGAAACAATAAATTTCCTTTTTTTTTATATACTATTTATGTATGGAAAAACCAGCTTAAAGCGGACTCGAACGTTGAACGAGTATTGTTTTCTAAACGCATAAAATTGCCGCCGCGTACGAAGAATTCTCCCCGTTTTGAACAGGTTTTTGCCGTATTCGGAGCTTTGCTAATCATCCACAGCCAAGGCTTAATTGAATTATAATTAATTAGTTTCGCACAATAATATTTGAAGTCCTTGGAAAGATGGATGGGACGAGAGCGATGTTACTTCCTAATTGATAGAAGTCATTAATTATACAACTGCTAACCGCGCGCTGCGTATTTTTTAATTCGTTTCCTCCCTTCTACTTTCCTTTTTCCTCCCCCCTTCGGTTAACCAGTCGTTCTTTCCTACAAATTAAATATAAGATTGCTGGCGAAAGCGATTGTCTTTCCGTCCGAATATACTAAAACTTGTCTAAAGCGGAACCTGCCTAAACGGAGCGACTTTCTACCTTCAAAAACAACCTGTTCGAAACGATACCGGTTTACACAGGTTTGATTGTACGTCCTGTCTGTTAGCCGGTGTTAAAAGCCGTGTTGTAACCCAAACACTTCGTAATTTGGCCGCTTCGGTCACCTGTTTTTAGTGTTCTTTCTACAGTTCAGGTGTATGGAGCTTGCTGCAAAGGTTTACCTTTCGAGCTGCACGTTTTTTAGGTTGTACGTCCCGTCTGTTAGCGCTTAAACGTTTGTTTGTTGGTGTTAAAAGAGCATTCGTAACCCAACGCTTCTTAATTTGATGGGTTTGGGCACGTGTTCGGAGTAGTCTTTCGTCAAAATGGCGTTTTCCAGGTATCTGGAACACCGAGTGTGTTTATCGCGTGGAATTTGTTCCATTCTTATCTCGTTATCTAACTCGGTTTCAACACATCCCACACGAATTTATGAAGGGGAAGGTAAGGAAATTCGTAATTAATCCACCTTCTTAGATGGCATTTTCGGACGCGTCAGGATGCGTGACACTTACCTACTTCCGCCGATTCATGGCAATTCCGCTAATTAATTGAAGTCGTTCGGGCGTGTTGGCCATTACTCGCTACTTTTATCCCATTTCGGGCGACTTCTGGCGCCGAATTTCTACCGAAATCCATCGAAAAATGTAAGAATTTAATTCCCCCTTTTCCACGCGCGCTAGCCGATCGACAAAGGAAACGTCCCCTCCCCCCTCCGAGCGTCGTGCTGTCATTAAGCTCTCGTTCTGCAGGTTCATTGCCACTCGCTGCACCCTTTTTTCCCTTGTTTTTATGTAGAACAAAGAGTGCCGGAGGGGGCAGCTTTGTTATAATTCGATAATTGGCGTTTCCCTTTTTCCCACGTCGACGTCACTTGTTTTGGTCGGCGTACGTAACGCGATACGTAACTAGGTTTCTCCGGAACTGGTACAGGTTGTCGAGCACCTCGCACGCACGACGGCGACGTCACACCGGCTGCACATCACCCCGAAACAGTCCCTTCCTTCGTTCGTCGCGAGTGGGACGTGACGGGTTGCGTCATCGCTTTCCATGTGTACTGTTGTTCGATTATGGATTACCGCACGCGCTCGACGCGATCGCAGTAATGGGAACAGGTAGGGAACTGTGTTATTTTTTCTAGTTTCTCTTGTGTAATTTAACACCGGGGTGGCCGAGAGCCAGGCGGCAGGGTCGAGGATGCGCGCGTGACCCCTCGACCTTGAATTGATGGGTGCACTGGCCAAGGACGGCGATTTTTTTTTCTTCTGTTTTACGCATCCCTGCTCGCTTTGTAGACGAGGGAAGGCGGCGATTTTCGCGTAATGCGCTTCTTCTGTACGTTCGGGTGACGTTTACGCGGATTTGGAACAGTTAAAATCGTTCCCTCCTACGTAATCGGTGACGTTTACGTAAAAAAAAAAATCGAACAGGGTTGCGTTGTTAGTCGCGCCTGGAGTGCCCTTGATTTTTTTTTTTTTTTTACGTTAGCCTCGAACTATTAAATGCCGTTTCTTCCTTAAGTTTCGGTCGATTTAAGCAGGCACACGCGAGTTTAGGTCACGAAAACGGGCGTATATGCTCGAATTTTTGCTTTGTTTACAGAAATTTACGGTCTACAGCGAAATCCCTGCTTTAATTTAAAAGTTTGACAAGTCAAAAGTTGCCCCAGGTGGGAGGGAGGAGGTAAGAAACAGATAGTTGTTCCCATTCCTCTATCAAAAACACACCCTCCAGGCAGGTTCTCCTAATTCAATGCCAGTAGCCCTTGATGATGTCTAGATGTGTCTTTATCTCAGAGCAATTTCCTCTTAGAAATTGCTTTTCCTTTTTTTTTTTCCTCCTTCTTCTCCCCTTGACCCTCCGAGCATGAAACCGGAGAGGGATGCCTCTTCCACTTTGGATACTAAATTATGCCACTGCGATAATTACGCCGGTGAAATCAGTGGCATGTACCCGCCTTCTGCTCACAGAAAACACTAGAAAATTAAATTCCGACTGCCTTAAAATCATAATTTTAATTGCTTAATCTACATTTTTGTAGGAGTAGCTTGTTTACTTTCTAAACAGTCTGGTTTAATTGCAAAGTTTATTGATTCAGCTGCGTATTTTTAATCATTTATATAGTATCGGGTGGAGTTTGGTATATTTTAACGATGCTAAACAAAGCCTTTTAGCTCCTAACCGCTTTAATTTCGAGCATCCCTTCGTTGTTTGGTTCTGCCTGGATGATAAAAATCACCATCCTATTTGTTTACTGACCTAGAACTCGGGGACGCTGCGTATATTTTTAATCTAGAAAGTAATTGTTCTAGGGTAAGAATGCCTTCGGTACACTAACCGGTAGATTAAGCGGATGATCGGATACGGATAACAATTGCTCGTGGTGTTTAAGTTCCTTACTTTAAAAAATAACCGGCAATGTAATCCCTCAAGGTATTTAGATTGCTGAACTGTAAAAGGGTGGTTCTGTTTTATCCTATGGTTAATTAGTCGCCGCGACGGACAATTGTTAACTAGAGGCATTCCTTCTGACACAATGAATGGAATTCGTGCTCTGGGTCAAGTTTGAATCTACAATAAAATGACAATCGAAACAGTTTTTTCTTCTTATTACGCAGACAATGAGCTGTCTCGGTGTGTGCGTATGTCCGAATGTTCTAGTCACAGACTTACCTAATGATTCTCTATTAAAAAATATTAAAATTTAATATGAATTTGATTCCAGAATTGAAGTATCTGTGAAGAGGACTGTTGCTTCGAAGCTTCTAAATTTGACTAATTGTGATTTTAATGCCATACTTTCTTTAAAATTGTACAAAAGATACACAAATTAATCTTTCTACTTAGTTTTTATTGTCAAAGAAACTTTTACGGTGAACCGCAACATAAAACTAGAGCTCAATTAATCAAGCATAAACTTCGACTGTACTTTAAAGTGTCACATTCAGACTGCAGTTCTGATTCTTCTGTCCTGTCACATCACAAGAGAGCATGAAATTTAATAGATCGTTATAAAGTTTTTTGTGGTAGAATAACCGAGTTTTATGTCAAATTCAGATAATTGTCTTGCACTTCCTTTCGAATTCAATGTAAATTAATTATCTCAACTTCTAAAATAATCTCCTCCTTTATAGTGGTTTTTAACAGAAGAAAATGTAGTCTGTAATCGAGTGGCGGATATCTCAAACTGTCTAAACTTCTCGGACAATCTCAGAGGCCAAATACACAGTTTAACACCACAGAAATATGGATCGCGAGATCCAGATTTAGAAGTGAAGTTGTTGAGCAACTTAAAAGTTTAATTATTAACTATTTTGCTTTGTTTTTGAGTCGTTAATTCCTCTTGTTGTACGGTTACTTCCGGAGTAATTACCGAAATCCCACATTGATTTTCTATGTAAAATCCAGTATTTTTTCGTTATTTACATAAGACATTTCATCTTAAAGGACAACATTTATAGAGAAAACGATACGCAGTCTTGAGGTAAAAGTACTGCGATAATCCTTATCAAAATATTTGAGAAATTACTGTGGTTTTCCTGTTAAGCTATGATCTAATTCTCTTATCACATCGGCAATTACTGATAATCCGCTTTAGTTTTTCAGACATTACTTGCAATTTACAGATGATGCAAATCCCTACTTAATCGATACAGTATAAACTACAATACTGTACTTAATTATATACGTGTTTTCATCGTCGTACGGTAAATTTACCGACACAAATATCCTGCATTGAAGTTCCTAGAAAGGTATTTGTGTATTTGAAATTAATACTTATCTTATGTATCTATAAATGTGAGTTGTGTCATTAGTAAACTGTAGGAGGTAATATTAATATTCTGTTTATTATCCTAACTTTCATTGTGTAGAATTTTAACTAAAGTAAGAAACAGCTATTGTTTAAAATACACTGTGCGATTTATACACTGTGTGACGTGTGCAGAATTAGTAAAATCTTTATTTTTAACGATTGATTTATTTATGTTTTTCAGTTCTATGTACTGGCTAGTGTGAAATTGATGACATTTATGCATAATTTCCATCTGTATTGGGACTTTATTTATTTTAATGTAGTTATACCATGTTATTACAATGCCTGTTAGATTATAATTTTTATCGTAAGGAATCGTCCATTAACTTTGCGTACAGATTTTGATCCTCTTCCTCCCTGTTGCGCATGGTGATGTATTTTTTCCTGACCTTTACTTCTCTTTAAACTGTACGTGTAATTAACCGATGGCCCCTAATTGCTGTATTCATTTGTAATTAGTTATTTGATATTTTATAGTATAAATCTTAATGAAAATTTGTTTATTTATGTATATTTTACAATAGTAATGCTGCAAAGCAAATACGAACCGTCTCACGGAACAGCGACCTAATTAAAAACTATATAACAGTGAAAATGCAACATTTTATTGACAAAATTCCCTAATTTCAAGTTAAAATATTCAGAAATGCATCTGGAAAGTGTCTTGTTCGGAGGATAGTCGAGAGAGTTCAACATCAACAAACAGATAACGTAAATCTATTTGATAATTGTATCAGAAGAGAAAGTTCACATCGTTCTTGTTTAAATTAAAGGAAAGAAGGGGAAATCGATAGTTGCTCGATTTGAAAATCAATATCAAATACCTCGTAAAAAATTGATGCTTATACATTAATCAATAAGATTCACCAGCTGCTAGAAAGTTTCATAAATTTACCATGTAAATATAAATTTAGATAAAGATCTAAATTAAAATTAAGAAGAAGAAGCTAACTAACTGGTACAATAAATAAATTCCCTGCTCTGTCTGTTACTATTTTTATCCATTCAGTTATTTTCTTTGTAGGCTTTTCAGTTCGTGTACTTGCCTCGAGGTATTATTTGATTGATTGAGTTCATGTTGAGAGTTTCCGGCAAATTGTCGTTCGTTTATAGAGGAATTACCAGTATGCTAATGTCGAAAATTATAAATAAATCGTTTCTGCATTATCCGAAGACTGCACAGAATATGGCCTAAAAATTGTAATTTAAATTATTTAGAACTTATTTGAATGCAGTCTAACGATCCGAGACCCGTCGGTGGCTGAGTGGATAAAATCACCGGTGGTCGTCGTAGGTCCTCGTGCCTGGTCGACAGGCCAGCTATGTGGAGTTTTCCAGGTTTTCTTTGTGTTTGTAACATCTAAATGGGCCAGTTTCCTTTAGAAAGTTCTGCCGAGAGGCACTTTTCTTTGGCAGATTGCCCACCCGTTTGTTGCCGTAAACAAATAAACCGAACCCAGCAGTTTGAGTATGGGATTTATACAAGTTGTGAATGTTACTACGGAGAAAAATGCATAATAATTTTATCAAATGTAGCATATTTTAGAGAAGGTTTTAGGCCAAGATATAAGAATATTTTGACTTAATTTTTAAAGTTTAAACGGGATATAATTCAGTAAACAATTAAATA